TGCAGCAAAATGATGATGCCACAGTTGGTTATTAACTGAAAATGTTGAGACGTCTTGGAAGGGTAAACTGAATTATTTATGTTGTCAATTTTCTCAAGCAGTGGTAATCTCCATAATTTATGAGATGTTTCTGAATAATTATTGATATTTATGATTTTGTCAAAACGGGGTTATTATAATTCTAACTAGCCCCGAGCATTGCTCGATTTAGAAATAGATTAAAAAAATCTCATAAAAAAATAGTTCAAAATAGAAAGCATATAAAAAACACATACAATGTAAAGTTTATGATCATAAATAGTCTTCTATGTTAATTCTATATTTTTTGGCAGCCAAAAATAATTTTTTGGGGGGCTTTTGGAGGAATCCTTAGGTGTCATTTTGATAGGATAATTAAATGTACGTATTTTTATGTGTTTTCGAATTTTTGAGGCAAAACTAAAAATTTCAAAAAATCATCTTAAATTAGATTTAAGGTGCAATTCCAAACAATTTCATTATTTCCTCTTTTTTTCACAAAAAATTAAAAAATATACTTATTTATTCCAATAGAACTAATCCTAATCAAGTAATAATGGGATATTTACTATTTTATTTTTTTAAATAAAAAATAAATGAAAATGAAAACTCAGAATAATAAGAGTTTGTGAATAGATATGTGATAAGATTGGCTGACAACCTTTCTTTAAATTTTATGATCAGAATATGTGTTTATTTAATTGTGTGAATAGTTGTCTTAATTAATGTTGACATTAGTATGCAATATAATGAAATATAGTAAATAATTTTAATATCGAAAAGCATGGTTACAAATTTAATTTTAACTAATTATATTTTTTTACACTTTAATAAAAAACGAATAGAGTAATGATATATGGCACAATAGCCTTAAAAACCCTCCTAAGCGACACATACGAATTGAAAACTCTCTTGTAATATATAATATAGATTTACTCAAAATGAAACTTTTAAGGATAAGTGTGCGTTGATCTTATTAGAACTGTTGTGACCAGAATCATTAAAATTAATTATAATAAGAAATTTATATATTTCTCTTTCTTTTTTCAAAAAAGAATATTGTGAAGAGTATAATTTGGTGATAGATGTGTTTTTTTGTTTTTGTTTTTGTTTTCATACTTGTTATGATGGTATTAAATTGTAATTAATTAAGGAATCACGATAATTTATAATTTTGGAAATAATATGAGAATCACTTCTTATAGTAATGTCCAATCCCATTAATATTATTTGACAAATTATAATTAAGGTCGGAGAAGCTAACATAATTAAGAGTTGAAAAGTTAATTCCTCCCTCCTCCCTCCCAAACTACATCGTATTTTATTGGGTGGAAAATGGTTGAATGCGAGTGAGACAACAGGAACTATCTAAGAACTTCAGTTTTACTATGACATATATTGATTCAAATCGCAATGTAACACTAATAAACATATCAAAAGATTATCGTATATAATGACTTTCCGTTCTGATTATTAAGAAGGATCAGAAGGGCCGGATCAATAATCTTTTGGTATTGTTGATAAGATGATTTTCTATTTGCATGCGCAAAAGTGAGATACGAGTTGCTATAGATTGAAATAGAATAAACATTGACAATTTTTATGTATAGGTACCCTTTATGGCCATGTTGATCAATAATAAGATTAACTGAAAATGACATTAGTAATGTTAAATTATAGGTTGATCATTTATGTAAAAGTAACATCACGATGATATCATATGCATTTTGAACCAACTACAAGTCATTTCCAAATAAATTATTTTGCCTATGGTGTTTTAAAATCATGCCAAAAAAAACAAAGAAAAGGGAAGAACCAAAAAGGGTGACATTAATAATAAAAAAGAAAAAAAAGTGGTTTTATTATTGGATAAAGCATGAGTGCGTGACGTGAATATTATTCATAACATATTCCACTTTTGTTATTATTCGTAACGCATTTATTTATTTATTTATTTTTGTAATTTCTTTAAGGAAACATTTACAAGTACGACGCCTTTACTACAAGTGAACACTCCACATCATTCAAATGTTTGTAAATGTAACATCTAATAGATGACGAATTAAGACCGGACATATTTAGATGTATAAGTAAGTTTAAACTGATCACGAAAATAAAAGTCAAAAATTGATGAATATAATTGTAAATAAATCCACAACTGATCTAAGAAACAATATACGGCCTGACAATTATTAAAGAGTTACAAAAAACTTTTTACATTTACATATGAAAAAAGATAAGGTAAGATAATAATCATTATACTAATCTATCGTATATATACTTAATTAAAGCAGCAAACAAAAAAGACATGTGTTAACACTATAATGAAAATTTTTCCGCCAAAAGTCATTTTCAGTTAAAATTATTTTTGACACGTGGCACTCTAACTAATCAGAAAAAAAAGATAAAATAAATAAATACATAAATTCCTTAATTATAACTACATAAAAATATCTTAATTATAGGTATATACTAATCCTTTAAAACAACAATATTAAGTTGATAAAATCAAATATTAAGAAATCCCCTTAAATCAAGTGAAACACCAGTAATGTCTTTCCAATCCCCAATTTTAAAGAATCTCTTCCATTCTGCACCTCTCTCACACCCGGGCCTTTAAATCAACTACTTTAAATCTGACATCAATTATCAATCCATCTCTTTCTACGAGAAAAAATAAGCTGTCATGAAAGAAATTTGATTTTTTAAGGATGATTTTTTTTTAATTCTTCTGTTGTAGATATTGGTTTATAATATATGTAAACCCGGGCATAAGTTAACTGTTATAAATTAAATATTATAAATTTGGGCATAGATTTATGTGTAAGAACTCACTTTCTGTCATTTCAATTGATTTTTTATTCTTTTAATTTTTTTTATTCTTTTAAAAATAATTTATATTTTTTATTTAATTAATTTAAAAATATAGGCGACACCCGAACAAGCATCTAGTAATAATTTGAAACTATTGTATCAGAAACAGCAACATTTGAATGTTAAAATTTTCTGTTTCCCTCGTAATGAGAATGGACCAAGAGTACCCAATTGAAATGTAAACAAAATTGTTAAGATTCAAACTCACAATCCCTAACATGCATTCGTCACAACATTAATGGATCAAGAACATAAGACACCTATGCACGTTCATTAATCATTGCCGGTGTTGTATTCATTTTGGTGTGATATTTTGAGCCCTTTCATGGTCATTATTCAAATTGCATAAAGAAAGTAGCAATAAATTAAGAAGAAGGATAAGAAAATGATTGTTAAAAATTTAAAAATTGGAAGAGTGTTAGTACGAGGTGTGGGATACGTTATTAACTGGTACAACCAAAAAAAAAAAAAAACAGCTCAAGAAAAACAAAAAAAAAAAAGAAAAAGAAAAAGAAAAGGAGAAGAAGAAGAGAAAGAAAACAGCTCACGTTTTACGTTAAGGATGGAGCTCCAAAAACTGGAAAAAAAGTTCCTCGAATTATACCTTTTTGAGCGGCCAAAAATTACTTTAAATACACTGACAAATTTCACTTTGCATATGAAAAAATCCACAAAAGAAAGCAAGAAAAGTAATGGGGATCTCCCACCAAAGTAATGAAAAGACGTTTCTAAATGTGGAAAATCTACCACGTGGACGGTCAAATCCCGTCCCTTTTTTAATTTTCGAAAATAAAATTTACTAATTTTACCTACAAGACAAATATTTTCATTTTTTAGCTTCTTTTTCCTTCAGAATTTTGATTTTACCTTATGCAGTTCACATTTTAAAACTTCGTTTACCGATACCCTTCTCGTGATCTCATTTGAAGATTAATTTCATATTTATTGTAGTATCAAATATAACAAAAGGCACGATCAAAGTCAGAAATTTTTGAAGTACAAATTTTTTAGAAACAACTGATGAAATTTAATATATATATATATATATTTGTTTTGTTACAATGAAAGAAGCAAGAATTTACATTCAAATATTTTTAGGATATGCTATAAATATAACATCGTGTTCTAACCATGGTACTACTTCCCGTGATGGACTATCAAACCGATGAAATTTAATATTTTAAGAGCGACAAACAAATGTCAAGTTTTCTGGTTATTTAATTTTCAAAATTTCTCTCTACTACTTAGAAAAACTAAAGGCTCCCTTAGCTCTTTCTTAAGTAGTAGTACGATAAAATTTATTTTTTCCCTTTTGTTTTTACTAAGTCTTAACTTTGATACTAAATTTATTTTTTTCCCCTTTCGTTTTATAAGTGGCTGTATGTTGTACATTGTTTACCACCAGAGATTTTGTTTTAAATGGTTGAATCTATTTTTCCTTTTATAATTAACATTATAAATATATATCATGATTACATAAGGACACTACAAGTCTACAACTCAATATCTCCCCAATGTTTAGTCCTGATTGTTGGTAATCAAATACTTCCTCCGTCCCATAATTATTATTCAGTTTGAGTTTTCATTTCTTGTTCAAATTGTACTAAAAGTGAAATCTCAAACTGGACAATAATTTTGGGATAGAAGGAGTATAATAATAATAATAGCTTTAATTTTAAGATGAATGGAATGAAAAAGTGTTCTACAAGCAACATTATTATAATAATGTAGTACGACTATTATAAAAGATAGTATCACAACGGGAGACTCGACTCTATTCGAAACTTCCTGTTTAATATTTCTAATTCCAGTCTTTCATGTTCATTAGACCAAGACTCGAGTCTTAAAACACATATTCTTAAACAAGTCATTCAATACCACAATTCACAAAATCTATTTCTTCCTAATCAATAATCATAATTCAGCTCATTTACACATTAACAAAAACTTTTAAAAGATTTTATGGTAAACATATTAATTAATGTTATGATTCTTTAATTATTACTAAACTATCTATAATTACTCACCGATTTTAGATATTCTTTGCAACAAAATTTTTGTCATTGGACCAAACCCATCCACCGAACTTTAATTACCAAAAAAAAATTCTCCTCACAAAATTTGGACACGAATACGAGGGCAATTATGTCCAAACCCTCCAAAACATACTCCTTACCTATTTAAAAACCGTTTCTTTGTCAGAGACTTGACACAACACAATAACTTACAAATTCCACCCACACTATATATATGCCCAAAAAGCCACACACGCCGGCGCACCATCTTTTTCCGGCGACAATTTCTCCCTCTTCCATATTCTCCCTTCCTCAGATCACACACAAAAAGACACAGTCACACACATATATATCCTAGACTCAGTTTTCAATTTTTGTTGTTCTGATTAAAGAGGCTTTTTGAGTTTTCTGCTTGTATCAATTTTTTGTATGATACGAAGGACTGATTGAATTTGGAATCATTGGGATTCTTATACATATTAATCGGTGATTTTGTTGTTGTAATTTAGTGTAATGACTTCGGAGCTGATCTTCAGGGGTCACGAATCCCAACCCGTTTCAGACGAGTACTCCCCGAAACCGCCCAAGCCATGGCTGAGTGTGATTCGACCCATTCGTTACATGCTCCGGGAACAGCGCCTCGTGTTCGTCTTCGTCGGCATTGCAATAGCCACCCTCGTATTCGCCCTCCTCCCTTCCTCCTCCTCCTCCTCCGCCTCCGGCAGCCTCGATTCGTTTAATTACGGTGGTTACGGCGGTCGACACCAGCTGGACGAGGTGATCTCTTCCAGAGAGTTCTTGCCGGCGGGCGGTGACCGGATGGCGATCTACCAGAACAACCGCGGGTTGGGATCCGGAACCGGGAAAATCCCACTGGGTCTGAAGCGGAAAGGGCTGAGGATCGTCGTGACCGGTGGGGCCGGTTTCGTCGGAAGCCATTTGGTGGACCGGCTGCTAGCCCGGGGTGATAGTGTGATCGTCGTCGATAACTACTTCACCGGAAGGAAAGAGAACGTTATGCATCACTTCGGGAATCCCAGATTTGAGCTCATCCGACACGACGTCGTCGAGCCGCTCCTGTTGGAGGTGGACCAGATCTACCATTTGGCTTGTCCGGCTTCCCCGGTTCATTACAAGCACAACCCGGTCAAAACTATCATATCCTTTTTTTCTTACCAAATTTTCATATCATTTCATTAACTCCATAATAAATCCTAATCATTATCATCATTTTCTGTCATTAATTACAATGATTATTATCAGTGGAATTTATTTTAGTAGATTTTTACTGTGAATGAATTTCCTTAATTTTGGTTTGCTTGGATGGGCCTGGGCTTTTCACAAGACTAATGTTGTGGGTACTCTAAACATGTTGGGCTTGGCCAAGAGAGTGGGAGCCCGGTTCTTGCTGACCAGCACTAGTGAAGTGTACGGTGACCCTTTGCAGCATCCTCAAGTGGAGACTTACTGGGGAAATGTCAACCCAATTGGTAATAATTTCCATTTCTTTCTTGTAGGGAGTTTTTGCATTTCTGGGTTTTAAATGGCAGCTGTTTAATTTTTTTTGTTTGTTTGTTTGTTTTTTTTCTTCTTCTCTTTTCCTGTGACGAAATGGGCAAGTTTGAACAATGTTAGGTGGATCTTGGGAGTTGTTGTGGAACCTTTTGTATGGTCAATAATTTGTGGCGGAATCTTTGCGCGTAATGACAAGGACATGATGTAAATGATGTCAATAGAATTAGCATTTTGACTGTACATGTGAAATGATCCATGTATTGGATATCATTACCTGCTAATATGGGATTAATTTCTGGAATATAATTTTGGGTTAAAACAAATGATGTAAAACGAGTTATTTGTTTCATACTGTAGATACTGATTTGGACAGTTGGACTAGTTATGGTGACAAGTGAGATTTTTACTTTTCTTGGCCGAATATGATGATGAAATATCATCCGTATAGTAAAAAATAAATGTTTAGTCTCTCTTATTGCTGTTATAGTGATATCTGGTATGATATGCATGAAAAAGATGGGAAGATGATGTGACATGTGATTAAAATTCAAAGAAATGGATAAAGGTTGCAATTGGATCTTAGTGAATTAGTTTACAAATTGAGAAGATATTGACAGGTGTACGAAGCTGTTATGACGAGGGGAAGCGAACTGCTGAGACACTGACAATGGACTATCACAGGGGTGCTGGTGTTGAGGTATGTTCAAATTCCTGTATTTCATTACAACCTTTTTGTACATGTTGCATGAAGTCTGTGCTTCTTGTTTCTTTTGTAATCTTATACATCAATGATTGGTTTTGGATAGTTCTAAATTAGTTCTGGCCGAAATATTGTTTTCTTGACTTAGCAAAAAGGATAACTATATATAAATATTCCCTTTCTTTACAATATCTTTAGGTGGTTTGATGTTGTACTGTTGATCCGCAACAGGTTAGGATTGCTAGGATCTTTAACACCTACGGACCTAGGATGTTTATTGATGATGGCCGTGTTGTCAGCAATTTTGTTGCTCAGGTAAATTTCTTTTTTATTCTATCTTTTTTTATTTCTATGGGAAATCAATGGGGCATGATTTGACCTAAATTTGTAATGGCAGGCTTTGAGGAAGGAACCAATGACCGTCTATGGTGATGGGAAACAGACAAGAAGTTTCCAATACGTTTCAGATTTGGTAGGAATTTTTCTGCAATTAATTCGTCATTTTATGCCGCTCTTTGTGATTAGTATTACCGTGTATAGCTTTTAAAATCGTTATCTATTCCTCTGTTATTTACTTGATTATTTTGACTTTAGGGTGGTTTTGTCCTATCTTCCATTTTATGCTCCTGTCATAAGCACAACCAGTACTGTCTTAACTCTCTTGTTTGGTATCTAATTGTACCATCAGTGATATGAATCCTATACGGTGGATCGTGAATATTTGAGCACTTCTTTTATGTTGGCTGCATCTGAAACTTCAAACTTTTATCATGTATCACTTGCACTTTGTTCTTTTGTTGATTCCTTGTCGAATTCTGTGTTTAGTGATATAAAATTTTAAACCATTTATTGATTGCTCTTTGTGAAGGGTTACTTTTGTTTAATTTTCCTTGAAGCTCCTCACTTGACAAGATCACATATTTTAATTACTATTTCCGATGTTGCTACATTGAGAATCAATTACTCAAAGCTTGTTTTGCATCAGTGGCTATGTGATATTTGATTGAGTTTTAGTTGTGCTGTGATGTGCAAATTAGCCTTCAATGACTGACTGTCTAATCCAACAAAAGAGTATGTATCAGAGGGTAATTAGATGGCGGGTTATGAGATGCATTTGTTCTGATTTTATTGTGCTTTGAAGATCCTGTATGCATATACTCGTGAAGAAGTGGATATACCTGTAATTTTTGTATCACCGTCATTTTCGATTGTTTCCGGTGCTTTCTGTCTTGTTGCTACTTGTTGATTGATATATAGGTTGTAGGTTGGTTTGATTGACTATAATGTTGAATACATGATTGATTCCATGCTTTCTTCCCATGTAGGTTGAGGGTCTCATGCGCTTGATGGAAGGAGAACATGTTGGGCCTTTCAATCTTGGTAACCCTGGTGAATTCACAATGCTTGAACTTGCTGAGGTATGGCTCTTTTTTGTTAACTGTGTTGTGCTACTGATCTTAAGATCAATCATGTTTCTCAATCTTCCATCTCTTTTCCTAAAAAAGTTTAGTATGTGGTGTATGTAGTGTTTTCACCCTCCAAAGCTAACTAGATTCAGATGTCCTTGAATGGAAGTATACAAATAACAAATTTGATGATCTGTAGCAACATATCCCTTATTTGTAAGAATACATTCATTGATGCATTCCTCCATGACAATTTTTTTTTTCACAAGCTACAACTCCTTGAAATTCTGGAATTTTGTTAAAAACTGCTACATTGTTTTTCTATAAAGTCAGTTTCTTCGATCCACCCTCAAAAGAAAGCTGACAGTGTCTTGGTAAGTTCCAATTTAGTCTGTTAGCTAATGGAGGTTGAATCCTAACAAGACCGGTGTCACGGTTTGCTGTTTGCACCTGATCAAACCCGTTAAGCCTGAAATTCAAAGTGCTTAAATATCAAATTAGCGGTTCAACTTTTCTGCTGAATGGGGTCAGAGTGATCTGATCTTTTTATGCCATTTGTGCAGGTTGTCCGAGAAACTATCGATCCAAATGCTAAGATCGATTTCAGGCCTAACACAGAGGATGACCCCCACAAGAGAAAACCTGACATTTCAAAGGCGAAAGAGTTACTCGGATGGGAACCGAAAGTCCCACTTCGTAAGGGTCTTCCTTTGATGGTTGCTGATTTTAGAGAACGTATCTTTGGTGACCACAAGGAAGACAGCTCCTCCGTCTCCTAACTTCGCAAGAGCCCACCTGTACTTTAGTCCCCCGGACAGATAGAGCAAGAAATCTGTAGCTCGGAGAAGCACTTATTTCTGTTCCTTACGGCATGTGCCTGAACTAGTATAGTAATGGTGGCAAATCAACGTTGGAAGGAGAACGGTGCCTATTGTTTTCCCTTCAGTATAGCATTTAAAGATGGTTATATTATAGTAATCTCATAGTTGATCCCGCAGTAATTTTGGTCGTTTGTTCTGTAATCTCGAGTCCCCTATCAGAAGTACTCTTCATAGTTGATTCCCGAGAGCCTATTTTAGGCAATTACAATGAATAACTTTGCGCGATTCTTTTATGGTATTGCAGTTATCATTTTCCCTCAAGGCTTTTATCGATTTATAACTGTACCAGATCATTCGAACGGTTCGCAATTTTTGGGTCTTTTTGATGAAGCTATAGAAATGTGAGTTCACGACTGAAGGGAATTGATAAATCGAGAGTAACTATTTTATACTGAGAGTATATGTATCTCAAATACTTATATTACTCTCCTACAAAGTTTCTACATCCTTAATTTTGCCCTTAAACAAAGATTTTAATTAATTCCTTTTCTTGTGAATTTTTCATCAGGTCAATTAGTATGAATCTCCAAACCAAGACCTTAAAAAAAAAAAAAAAGGTGAGTAATTCTGATGGTATTACTAGACCGAATCATTCAAGTGCCCTGCGAAAGAGTCGATGTCAGTGTTCTAATTTAATTCAACTGTAATTCATGATTTTAGACAATGAGAATCCAAGAAAAAACTTGTACAGAAAACTCTCAAACTCTCTGATGTTTGTGAATTAGAATTTCTGTTTAATTTCCGTACTTTCATATAAATTATTATAAGGATTTATATATAAATTCCGTCTCCCACGTCACCTTAATTTCCGTACTTTCATTTTCATGGATGTCTGTTATATTCATGATTAGTTGTGTGTTAAACGGGCAAAATACGAATAACTTTAATCAAATCGTAATATAAGGAATGTTAGACATGATTATACGAATCTCAAAATAAATTCTCCAGAGCTGACTCCTTCCGTCCTTCGTACATACCTTTTTTTTTTTTTCTTTTTTTTCTTGTGTGTGTGTGTGTGTGTGTGTGTGTGGGGCTGATAAGTCATAAGTCCATTCCTTAAACCTTTATATGCGACGGTCTCAAAGACCAAAGAAGATCATCTGAAGGGGACAATTTCCAATCACAAAGGGAGAAAATACTAACACAAACAATGACCATTTCTTCATTTCCCCTTCTAGTCCCCTTCCATTTTGCCAATGTTACTTAATTTCGACACCTTTTCGGTCTTCTCAAAATCATTACCACAATTATCACCAGGCGAACTATTTTGGACAAATCGACAAACTGTAAAGAAAGATGAACAAAATTAAACTTTATAATGCTACATGGAAGAATGATGATGCATCCGACGTCCTTTCCAACCACACAAGTAATTCCCATGTCCATTTCTTCTTATTTTCCCCTTCTCCCTTCCTCCTACCCCATCAACTTCAACAAAAGGCCCCGCTGCCTGGGCCGAGGCGTTTAACTTGTGGATGATCAAGTTAGCGCCTCCTTCTGGCAGCGGCAGGAGCTCGTGATCCTCCTCGTCCGCCACCGATGATCGCTTGTCGAGCCACGAAATGATGTCGGCGAAAACGGTTTCGATGTTAGATTCGGGTTCACCGTATGTCAAACCGTGCCACATTCCTTGGTACAATTTTATGGTCTTGTCTTTGCTACTTGCTTGTTCGTACAATGCCTTGCTTACTTCTGGATCGGTTACTATATCTGCTTCTCCATGCAACACAAAGAATGGCAATGTCACCTGGATCATGAACATCACATTTGGCCACACAAAGACATTAATCAAAACCCAAACCTCACTGGGCCTAACAGATGGCATGTTGTCTACGGAGGAAAGTTGGGCCATATTTATGTCCAACTTGTCACCAAATGATTTTTTTCATTTTTTGGAACAAAGGATTACTTGTATATAACTAAAAAAATTTATTTTTTTGATATGTAGTTTCGTGTTATAAATTATCATAGTGGTTAGATCAAATAAATCAAGGAGAAATTAGGATACCTCATTCAGGGTCTCCTCAAGACACATGCTAGTTCTGAGCATTTCTAGAGCAGTTTTAAGCCTTGGCTTTTCTTGGTATATCAACCTGTTACCACGAATCTGGAAAAAAAAAAACCCATAAAAACACATCCACTTATTGATGATGCATTATTTCTCTGACAATTGCTGCTTTTATAACCTAAAAAATTATGACATGTTAACAGACCGGTCTCTTTTGACTTGATTCAGACCAATTTTGAGAAAATGAACTATGAAGATTTACCTCTTCTCGTTTGAGGGGATCTTTGAAAGCAGCATCAATCACGTCTTTGGTTGGAACAATCTTCCACCTGGGTATTATGTCTTCGACTTTGGTCAACATAGTTATAACCAGCGGATGTGGCTTCACCTTCTCTGATATCTGACTACCCCCAAAAAACATTCCCAATGCTTAAGTACTTAGTATAGTTGTTATTAGTTAAGACTTTTTTCGAAAAAAATTGCGACGAGCAACAAGAATCTGGAGGACAAATACCTTACACATGGGGGCAACAAGAACAGCACCATGCCAATAAGAAGGGTCTTTCTTGTGAATCAAAAGGGCAACAGCCCCTCCCATGGATTCACCATACAAGAACCTTTTCTTCCCCCGGTACTCTTCGCTACCTGAAAAAAAAAGTATAATATTAAGATTTTAATCTACCTTAATTTATCTTTATTAGGTAGTTGTTCTATCCACATTTTTTTTTTCAATTCTAGAAATACACTTGCACTAGAAGCAATCAATTGACTAATAATCAACGTTTAGAGGGTCAAATGTTTAAAACTTACTGGAAATGGATTTGAAGAATTCACTGCAATCGTTGACAATGTTGTCGAACTTTTTAATGTAACATCGTGCACCCCATGATTTTCCATGCCCTTCGTAATCAATACCAAACACCGCATACCCGTACGTTGCTAACCTGCTTCCAACTCCTATAACAAATACAAACTTCATCCCAACATTAATTTCAATTTCCCCCCAGTAACAAGTAACAAAATAAAGTACTCCCTCAGTCCCGAAATTGTTGGCCAGTTTGAATTTTCAATTTTAATTCAAATTGTAGTAAAAATGAAAATCTAAAACTGGACAATAATTTTTGGGACAGAAGAAGTATCTCGTTTGTCATTTATATTTGTCAAAAATACGTACGTTCTTATATTTATTTTTCTCGTGTTTTGTCCTTCTAACTAAATGTAATTAATGCTAGTTACAACTTACAAAGTACTCCACCCATCAGGAAAATTAAAAGGGGAAAAAAAAATAGTCAGGAAATAAATCAATTAAAGCTGCCTTGTGAAAATGTCAAGGGGGTGATGTGATATAACAACTCTTTGCTCAGTTTTAAAAGCCTTAATGCTTCTTTCGTGCTTGCCTAAACAAGGAAAGAGCATTGTTTATATTAACTTATGGCTGTCTCTAGTCATTATATCATTTGCGTGGTTCTGGTATATATTGTGTAGAAGAGTTTGCTAACCTAATTAATAAAAATCAGTTTACTTTCTACTTTGAAATCATTCAATACCAAAACAATTACGAAACCAATCAAGACTTATTGTACATTGAAGACCAAAAATGTCTCTTTCCAACCAGGAATCTGTCAACACACTGATGATTGTACCTGCATCTTAAACCTTCTATACATATATATATGTGTCCATGAAAACTCTGGATCTCTTGAAAAATGTTGATATTTCAGCTGGTAGAAGTTGAACTAACCATAGTTAATCCTACCTTTCATTAATTGATGATGATAACTTCACTGTTCATCAATCTTAATCTTACAACTAATTTTTTTTTCCTATGGAAGAAACTTTCAAAATCCTAATTGGGTTGCAAACCTAAACCAATTCAATTCAATGTCCTCAACATAAAGAAATCAAAAGGTCCAAAATGCCAAAATGTATTTTCTTTTCTCTCTCTCTCTTTTTTTTTTTTTGTTTTTGTTTTAACACAAATTGAGTTGAGGGATTAAAAAACATCAAACTGACATGATGTTATACAAGACATGAGAAACAACTACGCATCCTGATCCATATACTGCAGCAAACATGTGATAATGTTAAGGGAAAGAATAGATAAATAAGTGGCAAAAAAGAAAAAAAAAAAGAAAAGAGAGAGATGTAAAAGATAAAAGACATTGTGGGAGAAATGATAATGGCCATATGTATGGATTTAGACTGGATTTATTCTGGTTGGTTTTGCATCTTTACTTCAGTGCCAGAAAAAAGTCACATGCAGAGGAACAACTGGAACAGGGAATGGGCTGTACATAATGTATTCCCATAGTCCCTAGCAGCTAGCTGGTTTTGCTAGTATTTACTTCTAGTATGGTACAAAATCCCTCTAGAATCTGTTAAAAATTATGGCCAATAGTAAAACCGTATTTAAATACCCCCAATTGACCTACTTTCACATAATGTCATTACCAAATTCAACTTTTCAATAGTAGTAATTAGTAATCTTTTGTTTGGATTCTGCACTTAAAACTTAGAAGTCCATTAAACTGTTAAACAGCTTTATTGGTCAAACTAATAAGATTTTCACACCTGTCCAAAAAAACCTCAATCATACCCAAAAACAACGAAGAAATTCATTAAGCACAGACTAATAGCATCAATTGGATGTGTTGAAACAATGAAACTAATCATCTAGTAAGCATTCGGCTTAAGAAATCAACACAAAAAGAGCAAAGGAAGAAGATTGAATTAAAAAAAAAAAAAAAAACCAGCATTTATATGATCTTTGACTTCTAAACAACACCACATTGATGGTTCTACATGGACATTGAAGAGAAAGGGAAGTGCTTACCTTTCATGAACTCGCTGCATTCCATGCCATAACCTGCAAAAATCTCATCACTTTTTAGAACAACAGGGAAAAAGGGTATAAGATTTATGATTCAAATTCCGCAATGGAAATTCAAGAGATGGAGAAGGAGAAAATAGAAAATGACCATGGCAAAGGAAGACCAAGGCTTTGGGTGAAGAAAATGGCAACCATCTACAAGTGAATTGCTGCACTCCCCTTGAGTTCCTGATATACTCCTAAAGTACAGAAAAATCATCATCCATTCATCAGAAATTCAGAATAAGAAAAAAGCTAATAACTTTCTTCAATCTCAATACTACAGAGTTTACAGAAGATTTTACTTCACACACACACACACACACGCACGCACAAAGACAGACTAAAATGGAGTGAAATGAATGAATGTTTTTGCCTTAATGAAGTGAGTTTTAGATAAAGAGAGAAAAATATGAGGAAAAAAAAGAAAAAAAAGACACACCTCATGATATTTCACAGCATCCATTATATTTGAGAAGAGCAGCTTAGGAGGCAAAGAAGGAAGATACACATTTATTTGACTAAGAAATAAGGCAAGTTCATCATCATACTCTTGTTCTCTTCTAGATTTATAGCATACTATTTTTATTATTAATGGTTGAAGAAATCTAAGGAACTAATGAATGAAGATGATGGTGATATATGGCTTTGTGTAAAGTGTAAGAGGCTTTCTAAATATAGTAGGATGGGAAGGGAAAGACTGGATAAAGAAAATGTGGATCATTCTCATTTTTAACACTCAAAATTTTAGGAATTTGTATAGTTGGTATTCAAATTTTCTGAACTATTACATTATCTATGTTACGTTTTATTCGGTTGTGATTTTGATCCAAGTTATGTTTGAGGACAAAATAACAAGGGGTCAAAGAGATTGCTGAGATTGATTCGAATGAAATGATAACTACCAGTAGTCGATATTTGATCCGTCAAGAAACCATAAACACGCGAGAAACTTTTTCGTGGAGAACGCAATCTGCTAACTTCAAAGTATTTTGGACGTGCATTTGCAATTTTCTTAGATATTAAGGACCGGAGTCATAAATATTCCTGGGAGCAGGATCAGGCTTTTGCGGGTTTACTTTTTGGTTTCCGGTTTGGCATTTTCTTCTTCTTGTTGAGACTTAACAGCCGAGATTTAAGATAGCTTCCAGAATTTTGCTGATTTCAGAAGTTGTGGGCTTTGGAAAAGCCCATACCTTATTTTCCAGAATACATCCCGTTTTATTTTTCGCATGCCTTAGTTAATTGAATTATTAAAATGAGGAGGAAAAGTACTAATGAGTCACAATCAAAAATATGTGATCCCTCTGTTATCCTGTTTTCGGGATTGTAGAAGTATTTACAAAAATAAATGTTACTGCTATACTCCCTCCATTTCAAAATATAAGTTACTTTAGGCTTGGCACGTATATTAAGGAGACAATCATCTAACAATTAATTTATGTTTTAAATATCTGTTTTACTATTCATCAATTACATTGAAACTATAAACAAGACTAAATGAAAATATATTGGCAAGGGTAAAGTTGGAAAATAGTCATTAATTTGCTTGGAATTTGTAAAAACGACCTATATTTTGAAAAATCACTCCAAACATAAAACGACCTACAAATTGAAATGGAGGAAGTACTTATGTTAACTTGTTCCAAAATATAAAAGAACTGATTTTAGCTAATCCACTCATATCGATTGCCTATTTGAAATGAAAAGGTATTTTCTCCTATGCTATTTTTGAGCTTTTTCCCAAAAAAAATTAAATAAAATAAACGTGGACAAATTTAAATTTTTCAGAATATTTGTGGACAGAAATATATTGCTCGGATTTCTGAAATCCGAGTTTTGATTAATATTAGAGATTCGGATTTTGCAAATCCGGATCCATACTTAATAATAAAATAATAATTTCATAAATTTTGTTGAATAATAGTTTTTTTAGTTCTTAAATGAACAGTAAAGCTCGGATATGTAGAATCCGAGTTTAGTTAAAAATTAATAAATCGCGGCGCGAAATTTTTGAATCCAAAAAACCGGAAGTCCGTAATTCTGGTTTGACGAATTCGGATTTTAGAAATCCGGATGCCTTTAATTTTGGTTGGTGGAAGTAGGCATGTGCCTTAAATTGGAGGACCAAAAAATTAATAAAATAATCATGAATTGACTAAATTCGGATTTATGAAATCCGAATCTAACACAGTTCGGATTTCAAAAATTCGAGTTACTTACGGACTCGGATTTCGTAAATCCGAGTTTAACGTGCTATAAAAGAAAAAAAATTTCAAGCAGTTCTGATTTTCTGTTTTTGCAGCTCAAACAAGGGCGAATTGAAGTTTTTGATGCATTCTTGCCTCTAGATACGTGGAAATCGTTATTTGAAAGAGGTTAGATTGCAAAACCATGTTATTTAGTTTATTTTTGTGTTATTTTGATTGTTAGAATGATGTATGATAGATTAGGGTTTATGTTGGTTGGTTGTTTGGATGTTTTAGGTGTTGATTTTGAGGTTAGAGATGAGAAATCATAGTTGTTCATGAGATATCGAAGTTGATTTATAAGTATTTTAGTATGGTGTATTTATTGGAGTATGTATGGTGTATGGTGTATGGTGTATTTTAGAGAATGTATGGTGTATTTTGTTGATTTTGTTATTAAGAAATGATTAATTATTGATGTTTTTTTTAACAGTTATCAATGGCACATAATGTATCATACATGCTTAATTTGTATCATACAAGTAAGTATGTGATAGAGAACGGTAGTATCAACACTTTTTCGAATATGCCGGATGATGGTTTGTTTGTCGAAGAAAGGTTGTCATATGAGGGATTGATTAGTAAGATTTGTATGATCCAGCACACGTGAAACTCCACCTTTCTTTGATTTTCGATAGTCCCGGTGGTAGGCGTGTAGTGAAGATCAAGAATGATTCGCATGTAGAGTTCATGAACCGTGTAGATCCAATGTCATGTTTGGATTTATACATAGATTTGGAAGATATCACCCAAGAAGAAAGAGAAGCGAGTTTGGAAAACGTGTCATTTGGTGATTTTCGAAGGGGGGAACGTGCTAGTACTTCTCGAAACCGTGATGAAGAGGAGACACCTTTATTTGCACAAAATGACTACCGGAAAGAGTTGGATTCCGACTACATAGCTCCAAGTGAAAGCGAAGAAGACGTGATGTCTCCGGAGAGAGTGATTTTGAAGAAAGTGATGATGAAAGGTTGGAAAATGAGGAAAGGGATTGTAATCTATTCGCCCGACGCCATGTATATAGTAAGATGGGGAACTGGGATGCCTCATGTGTAGACAAGGATGAGTTTGCTCTTAAGATGTGGGATGAGACGCCCAAGGAATGGACATTGGTGTTTGTTTCAAATCTCAATCGAAGCAAAGCATCTTTGTGAAATTATGGAATATCCATCATAAAAGGGAATATACGGTCGCCGCGAGTAGTCCAAGGACGTGGGCATGCGGTGCGTAACATTTAATGTGGAAAGTGAGGATGGTGAACCACCATGTGAGTGGAAGATGCGTGTGTCATTGAAAGCTCACGGCCTTCATGAAATTGTGAGATGGCATGATGCACATAATTGCATGACTCCTGTGAATGATAATGACAATCGGTGTGTGGACGCGTCTTTGATTGCTAGACTCATCAGGAGAAAGGTTGAGGACAACGTAGATTATACGGTAGCCTCGGCACAGAAAGATGTGAAGACCTTATTGAAAGTAGATGTGCCATACAAAAGGGCGTGGCACGGGAGGAGGAAAGCCATAGAAGCGGTCTATGGTGATTGGACCTCCAATTTCGAAGAACTTTCACGGTAAATATCAACTTTTATCCGTGTATTGAAATATTTATAGTATTTTTATTTTTACATGTATTGAAATATTTTAACAATGATTTGTTGTTGTTTAGGTATATCGTTGCGCTTAAGTTTACTAATCCTGAGACTGTAGTAGAGTGGGAATGGAAGGAGGGACAAGAAGGTTGGAACAGGGGAAACCGGACATTTAAATACGTCTTCGGTCATTTGCACCTGGTGAGACGTTTTTTGAATGTCCACCGGTCATTTGTATCGATGGAACCTTTTTGCGTGGTGGATACAAGGGTAAATTGCTTGTTGCGGTGGTGTATACCGCAAACAAGCACATTTTACCGGTTGCATTTGCGATTGTTGATGAGGAGACAGTAGAGAGTTGGACATTTTTTATGAGGAATTTGAGGTTGTGGGTTGTGTATGATAGAATCGTAAGTGTGATATCCGACCGGAATGCAGGGTTGTTGAGCGCAATGTCACAGATGGATGAATGGCGTGATTTAGGTGATGGTGGGCACTTTCTTTGCCTCCGCCACGTTCGCAGCAATCTTGTGTCGCGATATAATAGCAAAAAGGTGAAGCGGTTATGTTGGAAGATGGGCACGACGCTTTCAAGAGTGAAATACAACCGTATGAGGGCAGAGCTTATTGAATTCAAACCTGCTGCATGGGAGTATCTTCGAGGGATTGGGGGGAGTAACTGGGCTCGATTGAAAGCCGGTCTTCACCGTTAGGGCATAGCGACAACCAACATTTCTGAGAGTTACAACAATGCGTTGAAAGGGATCCGTTTTTTACCAATTAGAGCCTTGATCGATGCAACCTTTCGCAAAACTGTTAAATTCTATAGAGAAGAACAATTGTCTGCGAGAAATTGCATGACACCGATCCCTCCTGAGTTATGGAAAAAATGCGAGAAAATGAATGATAAAGCAGCCGGTTTTGAAGCCACCCCTTTCGATGGTGATGATGCTATGTGGCGTGTTGTTACTGCCACACGCCTAAGTGGCAGGGGTGGGTCTCTGCATATGGTGAACTACGATGAACATAGGTGTTCGTGCAGGAAGTGGCAAGAGTACCGGATGCCTTGTACGCACGCACTCCAAATTTGTCGGAGAAAAGGGGATCGGCCTATTGATCTATACCATAATGTGTGGCGCCTTCCAACGTGGCGCAGACAATTTCATTACACGGGCTTTGTTCCGGTTCCCGATGAGGAACAATGGCCGATGGTCAATGGAACATCATTCGAATTATGAGCGTCTTCATTGCATGTGGGACCGGACGAAGACAAAAAAGGAGACATAGAATGCAAATGGATTACAGGGGACGCCGGAGCCGGGGGGAATGTTGGAGATGTGGACAACTAGGTCATGATGCCAATTCACGTCCGTTCTCGCACCCAGGAGTAGATAGAAGACCTGTGAATGACAGCTGGAATTGAGTGTAATTTACTGTTCTTGCAAGTTATTTAGTGTTTGATAAATTTATGTGAACATTGATAAATTCAGATTGTAATATGAACATTGAATTTTTCGGATTGTAAAGTGTGATGAAATATGTACTATTTTTCATAATCAAAATCGGATTGTGCAAAATACTCATCATTGTAAGGTTTTGTGAAGCATTCGGATTTCCGAAATCCGAGCTCAGAGTTTTTTTTTGAAATTGCAAAGGACTCGGATTTCCGAAATTCGAATGGGTGAAACCCATCCGAGAGTTGCAATTTGAGGAGAAACAGGGGAGATTCGGATTTTATAAATCCGAGCTCAGAGATTTTCTCGAATTTACTAAGCACTCGGATTTAGGAAATCCGTGTTTGTGAAAAGCATCCGAGAGTTGCAAGTTGAGGAGAAACAGGAGAGATTCGGATTTTATAAATCCGAGCTCAGAGATTTTCTCGAATTTACTAAGCACTCGGATTTAGGAAATCCGTGTTTGTGAAAAGCATCCGAGAGTTACAATTTGAGGAGAAACAGGGGAGATTCGGATTTTGTAAATCCGAGCTCAGAGAGTTTCTCGAATTTACTAAGTACTCGGACTTAGGAAATCCGTGTTTGTGAAAAGCATCCGAGAGTTGAAATTTGGGAAGAAACAGTACTAACTCGGATTTCGCTAATCCGAACTCAGAGTTTATTTTTAATTTACAAAGGACTCGGATTTCAGAAATCCGTATTTGTGAAACCATCTGAGAGTTGAAATTTGAGGGAAACAGGGAAGATTCGGATTTCCTAAATCCGAGTTTGACGGGACTATATATTGTTCGGTCAACTCTTCCCTTCCCATTTTTCCCCCAATTCCAGAATTAACAAAACCCTAAAACTAAACTCCAATTAAACAATAATCCGGCGACTCCCACCACTCAATCCGGCGACTCCCTCCACTCCCTCCGTGATTTCCGGCGACCCTCTTGCATTCCGACGACTCAATTTCCAGAATCCGGCGTCTCTCCTCCCTCTGCACAATCCGGCGTCTCTCCTCCCTCTGGATAATCCGGCGACGTTCCTTGCAATCCGGCGACTCCCTCCGACTATCTCCACCTCCGGCGACTTCCTCCACTCCTCCCGACTTCCTCCATTACTCACTGTAAGTTTTGGCCGGCGATCCTCTCTTTATTTTTTTTGTCAAAATTTTTTTTTTCTTTGTGAAATCCGAGTCCTTTTTTTTTTTTTTTTTGAATAAACAAGTTGTGTTGAATTTAAGTTTAGGGTTTATAGTTTGGTAGTTTTGGCCGAGTGTACATCGTTTGGTAGTTTTGTTATTTGGCTGAATGTATATGGTTTGGTAGTCTTATTTATTTGGCGGAATAATTTGAAGTTTGGTTGATTTGTTTTTTTTGGCCGAGTGTACATCGTTTGTTAGGTTGTTTATTTGGCCGAATGTTTATAGTTTGGTAGTCTTGTTTATTTGGCCGAATAATTTGAAGTTTGGTTGATTTGTTTTTTTTGGCCGAGTGTACATCGTTTGTTAGGTTGTTTATTTGGCCGAATGTTTAGGTTGTTTATTTGGCCGAATAATTTGAAGTTTGGTTGATTTGTTTTTTTTTGGCCGAGTGTACATCGTTTGGTAGTATTGTTTATTGGCCGAATAATTTGAAGTCTTGTTTATTTGGCCGAATGTTTATGGTTTTGCTAGTATTGTTTATTTGGCCGAATGTTTATGGTTTGGTTGATTTATTTGGCCGAATGTTCATCATTCATACCTTGTGTAGGATTGAAATGGCGACGCCGGCATCGGGCTCCCAATATGACTATCAACCTAAACATCTTCACCCGGGACCTATACAAGATAAAATGCTATATCGTCAAACAAAGCATAGGTCCCAAGCTGTCTATGAGAACAGGATACCGGACATTAAGACATTCCGCCTCAAGGGCCGTAGGTACGACAGCGATTTTTGGGCGTTATATAAAAATACGGCACCGGAAGTTAAGGAAGTCATTAGGAGAGCCGGTTTTGAGGGGATCATGAAGGTAGGGTACAAAAGAGTTGATCTAGGCCTCATTACCGCGTTGGTGGAACGGTGGAGGCCAGAAACCCACACTTTCCATTTTAATTTCGGAGAGGTGACGGTGACGCTACAGGACGTCGAGGTCCTGTTTGGTATTCGGTGGATGGTGACCGGTGTACGGCACGACAGTTAGCGGACTGCAGATGAATGGAGGGATCGATGTGAGGCTTATTTGGGATTCCGCCGCGATCGTAAATGGCCAATGTGTCAATGTTGGTATTTTCGAAGATGAGATGGACCGTGCACTACCTTCAAATTCCACTGTCCATCGATTCGAGCAAAGGGCCGTGACACCGATACGCATTTTATTAGCGGTTTCATGTTTCGAACAAGACGCAGAACACCTGTCAATCTACGTTCTTGGCCCAGTTGAGGATTTGGATCGGTGTAGTCGATACGATTGGGGATCGGCACTGCTGGCTGGGTTGTACTCTGGCCTATGCGAGGCATCACAGTATACCATGCACGACGCCACCGGGTGTCTATATTTGCTACAAGTACGTATTAGTTTTCATTTTGAAGTTTAATTATTTTGCGCTTTCGACGTTATAATTTAAAGTTTCTACATTATTATTGCAATTTACTAGGTATGGGCGTATGAGCGGATCGAGAGGATCGCGCCCCAAAGAAAAGGAGTAGATTATTTGCTTGATGAGACCGCTCCATTAGCTCAGCGGTACGTATTTTCAGTTCAAAATAACTCAACGTTTAATTCTATTTGTTTCTTATTCATTTATTTCACTAATTCAAATGTACCCCTTTGTTTATTAAGGTGGGAATGTAGGTACACGTACGGCGACGCCCCAAGGAGTAGCACTCCACCTTTTAGAGATCGATTAACAAGTCTGCGTGTTGAAGATGTAAGTACTTGTAATTTGGTATTTATATTTACTTTCAGATCAATTACCCCTTTCTTTTGGTTTCGGTTGTACCATCTAATGAAATTTTTTCGTGCAGTTTCGGTGGCAACCATATGCACATGTCCTCCATAGACTCCCTGATTTCTGTACACAAGGCCAAGCCATTTGGACGACTAGGTGTTGGATGTTCTGTTGGGCTATTAGGGAACCCCACGAGTCGGGCGAGTCGTAAGACAATTTGGATACATACAGGATGTTCCCAAGCGCCCCATGATTAAAGATAACGCAGATTCCTTCTCGATCACGCCCACGTATGTCCAGGTATCCTAGCAATAATTGGGAGGATCACCATTCCACAGTACGCCGTCATTGGAATAGGAGAGAAGAGTTCGTGCTACGAGATTTGGAGGAAGGAGATCCTGGTTCCGTATATGAGGGGTACTATGAATGGTTTATGGTGAACACTGTCAGATTAATATCCAATCCCGGTAATTATGAACCTCAAGGATACGAGACTTCTTCGAGCCGCGTGAAATTATATGTGAGTTAATTGTAGATTTCTTTTATTATTTCTTATGTTTCTATTTTTTTTTTATTTTTTTTTTTTAGAACTTTACTCTCTTAATTAACGTCCCAATTTCTTTTCAGGGTGAAGTATTGAACAACATTCGCGTAAGTACCGAGAGGTTTAGAGAAAAACGAGAAGATGATAATCTCCTAGACGAAGAACTTGACAAGCATTTGGACGATATCATCAATCAAACACATGCTGCTTTAACCTTGGGCGCAAATGATGAGATGGAGGTGGATGATACCCAAATCCTGGTTGATGAAGATCCATTTTTTCCCTCACAACCTCCGCCGGGTAAAAAAGCGAAACCGTGGTCAAGAGATAAGATTGAAGGAGGAAGAAAGAGAAAGGTCACAATCCCCCCTCGGACATCGCAACAACAAACTGAGGGTCAACAAAATGAGGATCAAGCACATTCCTCTCGATGCTCGCGCATCCAGGTCGAGACTCATTTTGAAGAAGCTGGTGGACCCGAGACTCAGTTTGACATTGGTGGACCCGAGACTCAGTTTGACATTGATGGACCTGAGACTCAGTTTGGTGGACAGTCGCAACTACAACCGGGAGTCAAATTTATCACCATGGGGGAATCCCAATCTCAACCCCAAATCGAGGCTCAATTTGGTGGACAGTCGCAACCACACCAAAGTTCAATACTCACATATCTTAAGAGGGGAGACAGGATCCGACAAGGCCCAAACAAATACACTCCGGATGCGCACAATAAAGGAAAAGGGAAAAAATGAGACATTTCATTATTTTAAACATTTATAGTAGTTTTTGTATTGAACTTTTATGAAACTTGATTTATTTTGTTGTTAATCGAATGCCGTTTATTGTTTTGTTGTTATTAAATTCCTATTTTCCAATGTTTCATTGTTGTTGGTGCTGTAAACATGTTTAGGACTGGTGAAAATCAGTCCAATTTTTTTTTTCAGTTCTGACAAAGACTCGGATTTGCGAAATCCGAACCCAGACTTTTTGTAAAGGATTCGGATTTCGGAAATCCGAGTCCGTGGCCAACTGGGAGTCATCATTTTTCAGAAAACAGAGCGGATTCGGATTTCGATAATCCGAGTTCTGCCCAAATTTAATTTTTCAACACATTATTTTTTTTTCTATCCGGAAATTAATATTTTATTGATAAAAACGGATTTATAAAATCCGGATTTAGATTAATTACACTAATTTTTGTCATTAACTTAATATCGGATTTACGTAATACAAAGTCGGATTTTGATAATCCGAGTTGAGTTGGGGTCGGATTTCCGAAATCCGAGTTTTCCCCCATTCGGATTTCCTAAATCTGGGGCATATAAATTTGTCCACAAGGTTTTAAAAAGGTTTATTTTTGTCCAGGTTTTTTTTTTCATGTATATTTAAGGAAAAAATTCTACTATTTTTTGTAGTCTAAATTATGTCTTATAAATAGAAACACGGGAATTTTTCCCCAAAACCCTAAACCCACCGAGAATTTTACTAACAATTTTCTTCACAGTTACACGGTTCTGCATCTTTGCATCACGGAACGAACTGAAACTACGAATAAGGTTTTTTTTTTTTTTTTTGAAACATACGAATAAGGTTAAAGTGCTAATACATGATTTTTTTAAAAAAATTTGTTTCTTGGATAATAGTCGCAAATAATTTTGGAATATATTATTATATGGATAATGTATATGTATATTTCGAGAAAACAAGAAATGTGGCTGGGCATTATGACGACGACCACGTTTTTGGATTGGCTTCTGACTCGGCAATTCCATTCACGTATTCAACGACATTATTCGCACTTCTCCAGGAGATTGGGAAGATTCCAAATTGGCAAATAAGTACTCCTCCGTCCTAAAAATATCACATTGTAATTTGAGATTTCTATGATTTTACTACAAATCACAAACTACACTGTATACTACAATCTGGTATATACTAATAAAGGTAGTGTTTGAATGAATCTATATTCAAGCCGGACGAATCCTTTCGAAAAACCAACTTTAATCAAGAACATAGAAGTAGTGAACTGAAGTAAAAACAGCTCTGCTAACAATTTACAACCATTTTAATGGAAGGTATCAGCAACAACATATCCAAGTAGAAAGAAATAACAGAACCATGTTTCTGAAAGTCAGAAAGCATAATCCTGATCTTTCTCAACAACAAATGTGAGAGGGAGAAAAATAGGATAGTGATACATTCCAGTTACAAGTTCCCTGTGAATTCTGATAAAGATAGGCGAGGCTATTAGTCTCTTTCGATCTAATTTATCAGTATCATGTTGATGACCATCAGTCTCTACGAGGAGTCACTTTGAGTTTGTCCGAAGTCTAAATCCTACCTGATGCAATATATAACAAATCTCCCTATCCACCCTTCAGAGGCATCCAATAAAATTGGAAGGATACAAAACAAACCTCCCTACCTCTGGTTATAGTGTATGCATTTCAAATCCTCACAAAGAGAAAGAAAAAGGCGATGTATACTGACCAGTGACCACGCAACTCAGTTAACGTTGCGATGTAGCTGAAGAATGCATTTATAATGATTCATCTTGTTTGGTCAGCCTAGATGATTCCCAGTGAAATATACTAAGTTGTTCTGCGATCATCAGCAGCCTGGTACAAGGCACAAACGAGACCAGAAACTCCAGCAACCTGCTTCCAGTTCCGGGTTCCAGCAGCAATAGCTGCCCCAGCTACCATGCCTCCGGCCAGACCATTTACCTACATGTACAAGATGTAGAACATTATGAACCTCGACCAACGTAGCCAACTTAGGAACTCGATATCACATTCCAGTCCAGGACATTACTAACATGGATTAAAAGATAAATGGATCGCTTATGGTTTAATGCGAAGTAGCAACTCAACTAATGCAACTGAATGGGTCACCAAAACCTTTGAGAAAATTAGCTTCAGAAAAGAACCGATTGATTTGTTCAAACTTCCATTAAAAAACACATACAAATAAGAGTGAAAATCAGAACTTTTAAAGAGGGCAAAATTTTGTGACATTCTTTATACACTGCTCTACTCAGAAATTAGGAACACCAGTGCACCAAGGATAACGAGAAAGTGATATTGAAGATCTATTATGGTAGACTAACCCAATCCTCTTGCCTTCTATACCTTCGCACCGCACAGCTCGTAAAAGAAAAAAGGGCTGCAAAGAATCCTGAAGATTACAGCAGAGATTAGATTACAGAAAATCTCATATGTAGATCATATCAAATAAAAGACACTTTGGTCAACTTTTAACCACAATTTGAAAATGAGAAATATAAGAGAACTTATTTTCAGGAACAAAGGCCTGAAACAGGACTTTAAGTAAAAGAAAAACAATAAGAACATCACAAAGATCATGGAAAGGAGTTGGAAATAAAGCCAAGAAACAAATTTCAATACAGCAAAAAGCAGGACAATGACGACAAAAGTAGACTAAGTTTCCAGTTTCAAGAGTTATAAAGGACATAAAGGTCACAACCACATTTTCACAGGGATACATTCTTCTATCCCTTAGTTTTCACAGGGATACATTCTTCAGTTCAACATGGTCTAAAGATAAGGAAAAAACCATAGATTTCACTGATAAATGAACATAAGAACGTGAGAGACATGATGCTAATTTTATTTCTTTAATCCCATTTCATCGTATTTTTCCCTTAATCTACCGACTTATCTTCCACCTTCCCATGCTAGTAACTAAAAGGCAAAATATTGATTTATGAACTCTTGGTGGTTACTTCACATTAATGCTGTAATGCAAAATGAGTTTTCCTGCTGTCCCGTTCTGTTAAGCACCCAATTATAACATTTTAAACTAAAGCAAGCCAAAACCACTGAAAACAAATAAGAGAATCCCGAGGAGATCTGATCAAGTACAGAAACAGACTGTAGATCAAATAGCGGCATTTAACCTCGCACTTCCACAAATGACTTCTTTAATATATTAGAAATCAAAATGAAGAAAAATGATTTCTCGAAAGTATGCAGAATGAAGTGTTTACTTGATAAATAACATTGCAATTTGGTAGTAATCAATAATCAAGAATGTAACCTTCTGCAGAACTTACCCCATTGAAAGCCATATCGACCAACCGACTTAGCCTGAAATTGATATAAAATTACTAATCAGATTCTGGGGAAGCATAGACAAACACGTTGATTGGGTTTATAAAATTCAAATGCCATTCCTTACCACGAAAGATGCCCGAGAAAGTCCCTTTAAGCCTACGAGTCCAAAGATTCGTTATTTAAGCCAAGTAAAAATTAACAGTAAACATACTGAATACAAAACGAAAACGAAAAACTGAAAGTAAAAAAGAAATATTACCCAAATCTATAGAATCATGAGATGCAGAACAAGCACCCCAGATTAAGCCAGCCTACAATAACAGTGATCAAGAAGATTGATGTAATAAATACTATCAGGAAAATAAATAATAAAGAAATAAAAATTTTCTAAGCTAAACACAAAAAGGAAGAGTTCAGAAGCTGAAAGAAGGGTTAACGAAAAAGTTACTTACAGTGCCAATGCGCAAGACGGCGTCGACGGCGATGGAAGAGCAGGGTATTTCTCCGGCGACGTTTCCCTCCATCATTCTCTCATTGCTCAGGATTCTCACTAGAGGCCCATATATATTTATGTAATATCCTACCCAAATATACGAATCTTATCGAGGCCCATTTAAGATAAAAATAATTTGGGCCAATGTGAATCTGGAAGGCACAAAATTTGCGGTTTTATTCATCTTCTTATTGTTTGCGGAGAGCAAATCATAAATGAATTTTTTTTTTCAAATATAAATTTCAAGAAAAAACAAAACTCAATAGCAAGGAATTTTTTTTGGGATAATGATTCTTACAGACAAATTTTACATGAATTTTTTGTGAGGCATGAATCATAACCGTCCATACTATAACTTTCTATGGGGAATTCATCAATTTAAAGGTTAAGGACAGTTAAGATTCAGCTACGTATTATCACTCTTTTCTTTTTTTTTTTTGTTTCCCCCCCTTTGCATATATTTTGATCTCCAAAACCCTGGTAATGGTGTTCTTGTTTCTGTAATTAGGTAGTTTATAAAATTTAATAATCTCAAAATTTATGTCGATGCGATGAAAATGAACATTATGTTTTAGGTATCCAATAATGGATTGAATAATAACAATATTCCAAAAAGAGATATTCCCTCTGTCCCAAAATTATTGTGTAATTTGAGATTTCACATTTAGTATAATTAGAACTAAAAATGAAAACCCAAACATGACAATAATTATGGGACTGAGGGAGTAAGTAAGTAAGAGTAAGATAATGATACATAAAGGGGAAAAAATATCCTCAAACCAAAAAAAAAAGAGGTGAAATGAGTTGTTTATATATTTATGAATTAATGGAAAACGGTGAAATTCAAATTGCTCGACTGATTATGGTTCGTACGAAATCATATTAGACAGCTACAGTCACATATCTAATCCTAAGTTGCTAACTACAAAGCTTGTTTTTTTTTTTAGAAAAAATAATACTCCCTCCATTTTTTTATATATCTTTCTAGAAAAATCATTAAAACGAAGAACACATTAATTAATATAGTTAGAATACAAAATACCCTTATTTATTGTCTATACAATTCATTACAAACCAATAGAAATTTATTATAAATATTGTTTCATTTCCAATGCAAGGGTAATATTGGTAAAAAATTGTCAAATATGACTCGATTTATAAAAATGACATATATTTAAAAAAATTTACTAAATTCTAAAATGACATATATTTCAAAATGAAGAGAACACTTCATTAAATTCAGCCAGCTCAGATTGATACAAAGCTAATGCATAAGATTCGCTTGCTTAGGATACTAATTGGTTTGTCATTCCGATCTTAGTTAGAATCCAATTAGATTTTTATTTTTATTTTTTTAAAAAAAGAATTGTTGGACTTGGGACCAGAATTTTTAATGGACTTATATATGCGATGAACTACAGTTTGCTTCCTGCTAGTTGCATTTGTTTGTACAAACGTTGGTAAGTGAAAATCACGGCGTCGAAATGGTCGATATGATCATCTTTTCGCATCATATTTTAATGGCATGTCTCTAAAATAAGAATAGGTCATATATGCTCGTAAAATTAACGTAACTTTTGTTTATTGGAATAAATTGGAGTACTGTAAAAAGTCTATAATGTTTGTACTGATATTTGTTGTTCGTTTTGTTGAGACCAAAAATAAATGCCCCCCCTTTTGGTTAAGAATCCGGATACATTTTTTTAGTTACTAGTTTAAGTCGTACTTAACGCACACAATAATGATAGTATTATACGGTAATCATTTTGTCATTACTATTGAGTCATCGTATCTTTTGCGTATAGATTCCTAAGAACCCAATAATGACAATTAATTTAATTTGACTAATTCATTTAAATATGAACTTTACAAATATCTTTTGGCTCATAATATTCCACGCTGCCTGTAGTTGCACCCCGGACCCAGACTACTTACACAACACTATTCCCTTTAAAATGTTGTGGTTTTCTTTTTCTTTTTTGGGGTTAAAATGTGCAGTTAGCTTTTCTATTGGTTTTAGTATATTTCATTTGAAATTACAAAGTTAATAAGTTTTAGTTTTTAGTATGTTTGCTTGGTTTTTCTCGTAGTTTTTTCAAAACTTTTATAATTAATAACTGTATCATTTCAATATAATACTTTTTCACATATTCAATACATTTTGCTTTTATTTTCTCAATTACAAAAAATACTTAAATACAAACACTAAAAAATAATCCGAACTAAGATAAAAGAGAATATTACAAGTGAAAGTTATTCTATTAATCAGGGAAAGCCTCCATTTGTCAAATTTATAACTTAATTCTTTAGTTTTGTTTAGACCGATATCTATTCGTACATTTAGGTATCTAAACTCAAGGAAGTAAAATTTATTAGGGGAAAGAAACCACTTTGGAAAATATGACGTCCATTCCCCGTTAACCGTCTACGAATTTTCCAGCAAGATTAAGACTATGATTACCTTGAAAAATATTCACAACACACTATGGAAGTAGCAGAAATCGTGCATAAAAGTAAAGAATAAGAGAAACAACATATTTATGGGTAAAAACCCAAGCTCATGTTATTAACTCGCAACACAAGGATAATACATAAAGACTTGTTCAACACAATTCACAAATCTATCATATAGATTATTGGCTGATTAAAACTGAGATAGATAAAAAGGATGGCAGTTACAACTCCCCAAGGAATTCAGAAAAACATGGGTAAAAGGCCAACACCTAAAAAGGTAACTGCCAGTAACTGCCACTGCAGCATCGTGCCACCTATCCGGGAAAAACTTGCGTCATGTTCCTTGTCTCACAGCACTGAAACCCGGACTGCACCCAGTACATAGCCCGGTTAACCATGTCCTGAAATTTTAACTTCCCGGTTCCACAAGCCCCTACATAGCCCACGTCTTCCAACAAGGTTCCCGTGTAGAACGTGACCGAATTCTCACAAAGTCCCAGCTATCTTGAGATCCTTCTTAGTTTGTTTCAAGTTACCGGCAGAATTGGAAAAAGTTATATAATCCACCAACTTCTCGGCAGCAACAACGGCCTGAGACAAATTCTGCACATCTTGCCGATTCAACTCTGTCTGAGCCTAATTCTGTAAACCCTGCATGAAATTGAAGAGCTTATCTTGTTCGAACATGTCCTAAACATCTAACAACAAAAAAAATAATTGAATTTCCTCATATAATCGAGGACAGAATCCGATTATTTCAACGTTCGAAGGGACTTTCTAGCATTCCATGATACATTAGTAGGAAGAAATTGAGTCTTTAACTCACGTTTCATGTCAGCCCACGTTACAATCTTAGCGGCCACCATTGATTTGCATCTCCAGAAAAATATATAGCAGCCACATCAACTTTCACTTGTTTCGTCACAATCTTAGTGGTCTTAAAGTATTGTTCCATGTCCCACAGAAAGTTCTCCATCTCCTTGGAACTACGAGTACCACCAAAGACTTTGGGTTCTGATACTTTAAACTTCTCACTCTAAAGCTGGTCATTCTCACTTGAATAAGATGAAGAAAATGCCATAGCCTACTTCAACAACGCCACATCGTCAACTAAAGTTCTAAGAACAACCAATTCTTCTTCTGGACACCCTACTGTCTAGACTACGAGTCAAATCAACAACATCCTTCTTTAGGGACTCAATAGCGATGTCCAACGTAGCATAGGCAAAAGAAGTCGAGGGTTGATTCCCCATCTTCTTCTCCAGATTCACGAGTTTAGTCGACACATCTTCAATTGAACTTCGACGACTGGTAGTTATTCGGTATAAACTGAGATTCTGATCATCAGTCCCAATTATCCTATATCTACCTTCAATGACAGTTTTAAAGCGCCCCACCTGTTCTGTGACCGTTCCTTGCATGTTTATCATGATGAAACATGATAGGAAACAAATCAATACCAATCAAAGCTGTTAAAACCCCTTTGACTTGGAAAACAAGTGAAAGACACTTGTCCCACATTGAAGTTGGGAAGCCTACTTGATTAACATATGTACCCCAAGTGCTACTCCCCTCATTGCCAATTGGTTTTGAGGTGGAACCACGTGTGGGCTTATATGGGCCTTCAAGATGGTATTAGAGCGGGTTTTAATCCACAGACTTTGTGGGTGGACTTTGACCGATCCGACAGTTTTTTCTGGTTTGACTTTATCTGTATTGGGCTTTAACTGATCCGGCAGTATATCTGAGGACATTAATTACCCGTATTGGATTTTGACTGACCCGGCAGTATATCCGAGGACTTTGATTTACCCGTATTGGGCTTTAGATGTTCAAAGGGGCTTTGTCCAACCCCTTTGGGCTTGCGAGGGGGTGTTAAAACCCCTTTGAACTTCGAAAATAAGTGAAAGACACTTGTCTCACATTGGAGTTGAGAAGCCTACTTGATTAACATATATACCTCATGTGCTACTCATCTCAATGCTAATTAGTTTTGAGGTGGAAACACATGTGGGCTTATATGGGCCTTCAAGAAAAGCAACACAATAGAAAACAAAGGTCACCAAAGCCCGTAAACGGGTTCTGATACCAACTTATTACACCCCGTTAACTGTCTATGGATTTTCCAGCAAGATCAAGGCTCTGATTACCTTGAAAAACATTCCCAACTCACTATGTAAGTAGTAGAAACCGTGCATAATGATAAAGAGCAAAAGAAGCAGTAGATTTACGGGTAAAAACCCAACCTCATGTTATGAACTCGCAACAGAAAGACAATACATCAAGACTTGCTCAACACAATTTCTAAGTCTCTCATATGGGTTCCTAGTTAAGTAAAACCGAGATATATACAAGAGACGATAGTTAAAAATGCCCAGGAAATTCAGGGAAACATGAGAAAAAGACCAGTACCTAAAAAAGTAACTGCCGGTAACCGCCACTGCAGCATTGTGCCACCTGTCCTCGGAAAAACTCGCGTCCTGTCCCTGATCCCACAGCACTGAAACCCCAGCTACACCCAGCACACAGCCTGGTTAACTATGTCTCGAGATTTTAACTGTCCGGTTCCACAAGTCCTCGTATAGTCCGCGCCTTCCAACAAGATTCCTGCGTAGAACTTAACCGTTCACAAAGTCACAGCAATCCCGAGATCCTACAAACCGACCTACCAAATCTCGGTATCTAGCAAAGTTGAAACCTACAACTCTGACAATACCGTTTTATTCCAGTCTAACTCAAGAACTAACCTGACAAAATAAGGGACAAACATCACCCGACACTTGATTTCCCGCATTACATGCATGCCGGCTGTTGCGTGTGACATGCGGGTTAAGAAGTTAGGGGTCTAACAACAGACTTTTTGTTTATTTAACCAGATTGTTATTTATTTTTTATTCTTTTGTGTGTTTAAGAATTGCATGCTTTCTACGTCTGCCATAAGAATCATTTTAGGTAAATCAAAACCATGAGAGCACAACTCTATTTTAATTTATTTAAAATTTAAATTATTTTTTGGTGTAAAACTAAAACACTTTTTCATAGTAATTGTTTATAACTTTCTTTATTTGTGTCAGATTTTGCAAAATCGAATGTTTCCACATCCGGCTTTTACAGTGGTTTGCGGCTTTGCGCTTCGTAAATTTGTGATTTCGGCTTCACCATGGTTAACATTTTCTTATTTTATTTTTTTGAAAAAGATGATTAACAATGGTGACTTTAGATATAAACGTAAAGACGGGATTGTCAAACTTGCTCAGGTAATCTGGGAGATCCTATGACGCGGACAAACACAAAAATCACGTTGGATTGTACGTCTCTTATTTGTCCAAAAAAACGATTAGGGCAAATTGGGCTGGAAAAAGAAGAGTATTTTTTGTCCAGGATAGGCCCCCTTGCTTGGAATTATTGATTGATTCCATAAAGATGAGGAATCTTTCAAAAATTGTGTGTCCTCTGAGCAAAACAACCAGCATTCAGTACTCATTCATTCAACCGGGCAGTTCTTTTAATTTATTTTTTAATTCATTCATATATTGTCAGATGTTTCCCTCCCAAAATCTCTGCCGGTGACTGGCAACTTCGCTCAGATAATCGTTTCTTTTTTTTTCTTGTCTAATTTCCAACAATTACCCCACTTTGGCTTTCTGGGTTGTGGTCAAAATCGAGTCTTGTAATTGTTCATGATCGTGGCCATTAAGGCCATGGACTTAATGGCCATGGACTTGAATGTTCCAGTGATCTTTCAACTAATGTTATAGAGATAAAGATTCTTTCTTGAGTGTTCAGCGAATTCCTCAAGAAAAAGATGGATTCTTTGCAAAATGAGAGCAATCAGATTCTTCTTGGGATCGAAAACTGCCAAGCCCATTTGATTTTCGATCTCGAAACTAAACTCGGAAATGGTGTTCGGGCATTTTTGTATTTCTTGGGTCTTGCTTATTGTTTTTTCGGGTTGTCAGCTATCACTGCCCGATTTTTCAAATCAATGGAGAATATTGTGAAGCATTCGCGCCAGGTGGTCGAGGTGGATCCTGTATCAGGAGCTAAAACCATCAAACGTGTGAAGGTTTGGAACTATACCATTGCTGACATCACTCTGCTGGCATTTGGAACCAGCTTTCCCCAGATTTCTTTGGCCACCATTGATGCCATTCGAAATCTCGGCAACACATATGCTGGAGGTAGTCTAAACTCTCCTTTGCATGGAACTCTTTGATTCAACTTTCTACTTAACCGGCCTTACTGAAGTCCTAATCTGGTCTTTTATGATATGGGAGCACCGACTCATGATGTTTAGTCCAAGCATCTTAGCTAAACATGGTTTGTTTTAATGATAGGGGAGCACTGACCCTTGCCTTTAGACCAAAGTTTGTGTTATCTAGTAATTAAATTTAAGTGGTCTGATTTCAAGGATCGAAGCTTGGAATGGTTATCTGTACTGTATCGCTGATATTTTGACTTACATGATTTACTTGTATTGTGCCTGAATCTCCTGAGAGATTTCTCTATTTCTAAAGAAATGATTTATCGCATACCTAGAGTCAAAAGGACCCATGATTATTGCTGTCATGTTCTACGGATTCTGGCTTATTGAAATTCAAAATTGGTTGCTTTTGGTTTATAATTTTTTGACATTGTGATTTGTAACACACTCTTATTTTCAGGTTTGGGACCGGGAACTCTTGTTGGTTCTGCTGCTTTTGATCTTTTTCCTATACACGCTGTTTGTGTTGTAGTTCCTAAAGCTGGAGAACTGAAGAAGATATCAGATCTAGGTGTTTGGTTAGTAGAGCTGTTTTGGTCCTTTTGGGCTTACGTCTGGCTTTACATTATATTAGAGGTACTTTGGTTTTCTGTATTACTGCTGGTTTCATGTACGCTAATAACATTTATTTTACGATTACCTTCTGCGTAATAATTTAGGTTCGAAAGTCATGGTGTAAGTTGTGCTTTTCCATCTTCTGCTTACTATGAGCTTACAGTTTTTATTGTATGATTGTAAATCCCAACAAATAAATTGAACACTCGATTTGCACCTTACACTTGGATCTTTTGTTACACTCGATTTGCACCTTACACTCGATTATTTTGTGTAAATTGCACCTTTGCCCTTGGTTATATTACAGTGCAATTATCAGGAAATGCCGCACTCATAAACAGTGATGCCACTGATTTACTGGAATGTTCTGTATTAACATTGTAGGTATGGACACCCGATGTTGTCACTTTGTGGGAGTCTTTGTTGACTGTTTTGCAGTTTGGGTTGTTGCTGATGCACGCTTATGCGCAAGACAAGCAGTGGCCATATTTATCCCTTCCACTGTATGATTTTGGTTTAACATCTTAGCTTTAACTTTGTTGCATTTCCTTTGTCAAACATAACAGTATTTTACATTGTGGATCTTTTTGTGTTCCAGAGGAAAAAGTGAGAGGCCTGAGGATTGGGTGCCTGCTGAAGATACTACATACGTAGAAGTGAAAGATGTTTATGGTGAATCCTCTAGAATTCTTGGGGATGAAACAGGGCAGATAGCTGACATATTCTCAATCCATTCAGCGAATTCGACAGGTGATAATCTGGATTGCTACTTTGTTTGGATGACTGTTTAGTTTTCGCAGAAGCTCTGTACTTTCCTTCGTGTATCGCTTTGGGAAATCGATATTGTCAAAAAAAGAATTTAAACATCTGGTTCCGTTCCATAAAAATGTTGCGCCTTCTGTGAGTAAGTAGTTAATCAAGATTCAAGACATCCGCATATCCTGAAATCTCTATGGATGAAGAAAGTTGTGTTTTTGCATTTTCCCATTAGCGTTGGCATACTCTTTAGCTATAATGATTTATCAAAGACCATTTTTAATTGTAAAAAGTAATTCTGAAGGAAGGCATTTAAAGATTTATGTGGTACTGTGTTATTTGGAAATGTCAAGAAGCTAGAGAAGTTATACATGTAGTATGAATTCACTATGTTCACGTGCTGCATCTCTGTCTTTTCTTTCTGTTTGATGGTATCTGATGGATCTCGTGACAAGTATGGTGCAGGTCTTCTATACCACAACTTGCGTAGTAGTGATGACTCAGAATCATCATTTTCGGATGATCCAAAAAGTTCGGTCATTGTTGAAAAACCTCATTGGCTTGAAATTTGGAAGCAGCTGTTTGTGGATGCATTTACGGTACATTCTTTTGCAATACGTCATTCTTTATAGTCCTCGTTCAAGTGAATGGCACAAGCTTGTTATGTATATGTATGTAAAGCCTAGCAGTCGGTTCTTTTTTCCCTAGATAATGAGAACCTATGTTTAGAGATGCTCTACACATTTGACATTCAGTTGGAATTGAAGATCGACGTGGTTGGGTTTTATTTTTGGTCATCTTATCTACGCATATACTTGAGCTGAAACTTTGCTGACGGTGACGTACTGTCACATTTATACTTTCTGCTAAGCTTGATGAATATGTAGCTACTTGGTTTATGAACAGATCTTTGTTTGTTCTTGGTAATATCTTCATCTTTTTCTTATCTGTTGAACTGGTTTAAACTGTAATAGTTGGAAAGAGGAGAATCAACAAAATCAAACGGATGCATACGCTTAACAAAAATTGTCTGGCAATCCCTTCTTGTGCCTTGGAGATTCTTGTTTGCTTTTGTGCCACCGCATCAGATAGCTCATGGATGGATTTCCTTCATTGGTTCATTAATCTTCATCAGCGGAATAGCTTATGTTGTGACAAAACTCACGGACATGATAAGCTGTGTTACAGGTAATCATTGGAAAAGAGATCTATTAATTTCTGTGATGCAGTTCCCTGTAACATTTCTAATTTTTGAATGTTTACATGGTGTAGGGATAGATGCTCATGTGATAGCCTTTACAGCATTGGCTGCTGGAACCTCATGGCCAGATTTAGTTGCAAGCAAGATTGCAGCTGAAAGACAGATTACTGCCGACTCTGCTATTGCAAACATCACTTGCAGGTTGGAGTTCCTTTTTAATAATGTTATTTTGACTTTGTGGTCTGATGGTATATTCTTGTTGGTCACTGATCTGATGCCATTCCGGTTGCTTTAACGTTGTGTGTGTTAGATTATCTGTCGTCAGGTATTTGAGCAGAACTTCCAATAGTAAAGCTTTTTGCTTCTCATGACTCTTGTTACCTTCACAGAAATTTTCGTGTGATTTTATATCAGAGTTGTTTCTTCAAGATAGCTATCGAGTTGTTCCTACTAGAGTGTCTTTAGCTGTAATGTTAGATTGCTGAGAACTGAATAGAATAGGCTGCTGGGGGATTTAGGTTTGCGGTTATCAATTTCCGCGCTGCTGTATCTGCGATTCTTAGGATTTCCTCGATGAAAACAGTGTGGACTAAGTAACCTTGTTTCTTCTGCTCTTGTAGCAATTCGGTGAACATCTACGTGGGAATTGGTGTTCCATGGCTCATTGACACACTATACAACTACGTTGCTTACAAGCAGCCACTGCGTATAGAGAATGCCGAAGGACTTAGCTTTTCATTGCTTGTTTTCTTCTCTACTTCTGTTGGCTGCATCGGAGTTTTGGTACTTCGGCGTTTAACGTTGGGTGCTGAGCTTGGGGGTCCAAGATTTTGGGCATGGGTAACCTGCATTTACTTTATGGTTCTATGGCTCATTTTTGTTGTGCTGTCGTCCCTCAGAGTTTCTGGCATAATGTGAGGGGATGGCATCCTATTCTTTCTAAATGGAATTAGCTCATCTTATTTAGCTCTCTGTTTTGGGTGGTACGTAGTATTCATATTCTTTTGTACTCATATACTTCTAGAGCAAATATGTATAGCAGGGTTTTCAACCCTATCATGTAAAAATCTCACTGCCGGTTTACAATAAGGAAAATGTGAGGTAGGCCATCTTTGCTCTGTAGCATGCATATAAGATCATCACATTTTAAACACTTCCTTTTCCCTTTTCGCTTTTTACCATGAATTGAAAAATGTTCTTTCATCTGCATCTATCAACGTTAATGTTAACCATAAATATAATGGCTCTAAGGAGTTTAAGTCGATGATTGGGTGGGTTATTTGTCCCCAGAAATGACTTCAATGATCAAAAGAGTTTGATGAAAGTAGTTAGGTGGCCGCCAAGATAAATTCTTGACCAGCAATGGTAGTAGGCACAATAATACAAACTCATCCATGAGAGTAGAATGAACAAAGGAAATTCCATTACTGAGACATTAATCACAAGGTTTTCTTACATTTCGAGAGTTGCCAGAAGATGGGCATTGGGCAGAGATACAATGGCAAAACAAAATCCGGTAGAATATATAAATGTAATCTTATCTGCATCTGTTTTCTCCACCCAATTATCTACTGGGATGGAAATTCAAGCAGCAGGAACAAAAGAACCAGTCACGGGAGTAACTTGGCGTCGTTCTACAGAACTGTATTTCTTGGTGATAAACCTGGTAATGTAACAAATAAGCGAGCAATTCAGTTGACCGAAACTTCTTTCATGTATCTAGTGATACTTTCAAGTCACAAGGCTTCAATTGAATATGAAACATAAAGGTGGGTTATGTCACCTGAAAAAATCCCTCCACAACAACTCATACATCAACCAGTTCAGCCCAGTGTCTGATGAACCACTACCACCACTTTTCTGGCCAGAAGCAACAGAAACCGGTCTGCAACAAAGATAGCAAGATTGAACATTTACGGAAACACATAAAACTAACAATCAGCAGGTCAAAGCTACTTGATTGCCACAAACCTCGAGACTGATTTTTTCAGTTCGTCGAACATGGAACGTGGAGAAAGGCATCCCATGGCAAGCCATGGAGATATTTTGCACGAGAAGTTTGCACCATATATGCTATCATTAGTCCCATCCTTGTTTCCCTTAGGTGGTTGTGCTTGGCATTCAGCTGCAAAACGTTTAAGCCTCTCCAATGCTACAGTCTCCCCTCCTACAAGAGAGGCATTTGGGGCAGGCTTTCCATTCTACAAAGAGTTATGCCACTTTATCAGGGAAAAGGCACTAAGTTGAAAAAGCTCCCCTACTGTTTCTACCTCAATTTCTCCCAAGTCCCATCACTCCATATTTAAAGTAACGAAATCCATGGCTATTACAAATAACGAATTCAGCAAACCAATTTAGATAAAACAACATAAAAACTGAAACCAAGAAAAATAACCACATCAGAACATTAACTACTCAAAAGAAAAGCAAGAATATGCAAGCAATTTCGCAGTCCAAAGTACCTGGATTCTCCGTATTTTCAAAAATGCTAAGACAAAACTGGAAAAAACATGCTGATTACATACTTGCATTAGTCAGGGGAAAATTGAAAATGAACAGAAAAATCACATCCACTAGCGATCAAATGCTAACTCCATCTCAATATGAGAATCATGTTTCTAAACATTTACTACTACATGATTTTACTAATGTACTAACGTGACCACGTATGATCGTATAAACAAAGATATGAATGACGAAAAACCTCAAAATAATTAGCTATGCGGCATTGATCATCACACGCAAAATTCAGAATATACCCAATACATTCTATGTACCATCATGAAGTTAACCTAAACAACTACATTTTTCAATTCTTCCTCTGTATTATCATTTATCATCAATTTAGACTACAATTTCAAACTCTTTCTATGTACTGTCATGAATTTAAGCCTACAAATATTACCTCTCCAAATTTTATTTTTGTATAATTAACACTAAGGGTAAAAACAGAAGAATATTTTTAAACATCTACATTTTCAACTATTATTAATTTCATACCTGAAGCATAGTTGCATTCGGGTTAAGACCCAAATCAACCAATGAAGGAATCTCCCCAGGCTCCACATCTCCTTTAGCAGGCAAACCTTTCAACTGATCCAAGGCCTCAATCGTCTTCCTAACTTCCAATCCATTCACTTTCTCCTTAAATCCACCATAATTTGTCGGCATTTCGGACAGTTTAAACGGCAAATCATCAATATGATACAATGTACTTCCCCAGAAATACTTCACTTCCAACCCTTCATCTTTCAAAGCCGCCTCAATATTATTCTCCGCCTTAACCTCATCATGAGAAACCTCCCGGTGGGCATACACAGCTTCGGCTCCGACAGCTTGAGCCAGCTCCAAAAGCACCGTCTCCGGCTTCCCAATCCTCACAACAAGATCAGAGCCTTTAGCCTGCAGAGTTTTCCTCAAGTCCGCAACCGATTCAAGCAAGAAAGTAGCCCTGTAGGGACCCGTCTTGTCAAACCCGGATGAGGATTTCCCATAATCTCTCGGGTCAAAGCAGTAAACGGGCAAGACCGACATAGACTCGTTGTTGGCTGAATTGAGGCATTCATTGTCGTGAACACGGAGGTCGTTGCGGAACCAAACAATGGAAGCCCGGCGGAGGGCGGCGGCGTTAGAAGGGTCGGTAGGGCGGTGGGGGAGGAGAGAATACGGGCTCTGGAGAGGCTTAGCAGAGAAACTGGATTTGAGAATTTGCTTCGATGAAGGAAAGGAAGAAGAAGAAATGGAGAGGTTGGAAAGTGATGAGACTTGGTTAGGGATTTTCAGTTTGGTGGGATTGGGATTGAAAAAAGATGTAATTTTGGAAGGGCTGGAAGCAAGAAAATGGGTTGGGATTGGTAGGATTGTGGAGAGGGAGTGTGAGATTGAAGCTATGGGCAAACCAGGGCCATTTTTAATAATGGTGAGCTGTGGAGAATGATGTTGTTCTTCTGATGAAGAAGAAGAAGAAGAAGAAGAAGAAGAAGAAGAAGAAAGTGGTTGTTGATTTTCTGGGGTTTTCTCTGCCGGAATTTGGTTTTTTCCGCCATTGCTGCCGTCCATTTTCTCTGACGGGGTTTGTTGGGTGAGAAAAATGGCGTCTTGATAAGATTAGGCTGCTTCCTCCTCTTCTTGGCTTTTGATTTTGCAACTTTGGTTTGGTTTGGTAGTTGGTGAAATTGGGGGTTTGGTGCGGGGTCTAATTGGTAAAATGTGTGGTCTGAAAATGAGATTATAAAGAGTTTTAAGGTGTAAGATTTAATGACGTCGTTAACTCTCTAATATTCTTGGAGTTTTTGGTGAGTCCAAATTGTACAATTTCCATGGGACTCTTCGTAGTACTTCCTTTTGGCTTTTATTTTCTATCACTTACACTAATCTCCTTATCTTTGTGGTATTGTGTAAGTGTAACCTCTCGACTAGATACAAAAAAAATCCCACAAATTCGTTACATAATTATTACGCAAAATATATATGTAATATAGTGTTTGTTGTCGCCTATTCAAGTCTGCCTACAATTTTAAAGAGAAGTAATACTTGACGATCCACTTGCCATTCCTTGCAGCTTTTAATTACAAAGAACAAACCCTATTATTTGTGTTCTTAAATTAACAGTATAAGAATACCACAAAATTTGCAAAAAATAACATGTTGCATCACTATGTATTCGTAATTATGCTTTGAATATGATTACCTAATTGTCATTAATGGTAGGGTTATTGTCATGGGGGGACAAGGGTGGCCTCTTTCATTTCATCTCCATGCCAAACTCCATAGTTCTTCACTCCTATCTACCTCAAAATTCACGTTTTATTGCATCCAATTTTGAATTCCATCCAATACAAATCAGTTAATTTGAACTCTTCAACAAGATAATTTTTACAGGGCACTAGATTCTGCATCTTTGTTAAGATTATTTTTTTGCCTTCTATGTTGATCCTAAATTTTTAACAACCATTTATCCTTTTTTTTGTATATAATTTGTTCCGTCCGTCCTTGGTTGTACTTCACTAATTATTTGATAAAAAAATGTTTACAAATATATAATCTCCTCATTTCTAACTTTGCAAAAAAAATAAAAATAAAAAATTATAGTACTTAGTTAAAAAATTGTACTATAGTATACTACTACTTTTTAAATAGGAAGAACAAAAAGCAATATTTCTTTATAATAGAGTACTATTTAATTTGGAATAATTATACTAATATCCCCTAAATTGATTAGATGTAACATTTAGACCACTAAATTCTAAAATTGGTCACATCACATCACGGCCGTTAAGGTCAGAAATTTTATAAGGTAGCCGGTGGCGATAAAATTTCAACATGGTAGTTATGTTCACCGTCTCCCCCTTACCTTGTACTGTTAGATTCCGGCGGTCACCGTCATCGGTCTCATCCCCTCGGAGATGGAATCTGTTTGGGCCCAGGTCTAAACTCGGACACGGGTTTGACCCATCGTTCGAGGCCGCCGCCGTTGAACGTGCTTCTCTTCGTTTTCAGGAGACTCATAAACCAGGTAAGCAAAATCTCTGCTTCAAATTATGGGAAATTGACCATGTAAATTGTAATATTATCACATTCACTGATCATTCAAATAGATTACAAGTCACCGTAATGATGGAAAAAAAAAGCTATGTAATTTAATCAATTCAATGTACCTTGCTATGAAATGTCCACTGAAAGAACTCGAGAAGCAGTACATGGTGTTGGCCTCCTAGGATTCTTCTTCTAGGTTGAATTTTTCGTGATATAAAGACGAGTTAGTATTTCATCTGTTTTTGCTTTATTTATCAATTTCTGAAGAGTATTGCCAAAATTTTTATCAGAAATGTTCTCGGTGTTCTGAATAAAGAAACAGGAAAAAATGGCAATTATTTGTTTGATTTTTGTTTTAGCTGGAACATTATGTTTCATACATTATGCTCACTGTTGTTTTCAAATGAGGAGAATTACAAGTTAGGCTTGCGTTTGCAGATCCTCTCTTTGTCGACCAGTATGCTGGCTGTCTTGTTTCCTCCGGAAAAATTCAGCTAGATACGAAACCAGAAGTGCCCTCATATTGTGTTGCAACCAAGTTCATTGATGATAAGTTGTTGAGTTCTCTCAAGCATGATGAGGAGCTTCGGCAGGTAATTCAGCTAATTTCCTATGTTGGTGATACTTGAGCTCTTGGAGTTCGGTTTATATTGATGTTTCTCTACTAAAGTGTTGCAGGTTGTATTTTTGACAGATGGGATGGATACTCGACCATATAGACTCAACTGGCCCCGATCGACCTTAATATTTGACATATCTCCAGAAAAGGTGTTTACGGCAGCAAGTCTCAAGCTCAAAGGTATTTTGCATTGATGTGAGATTTGTTTTTCTCTGTTTCTGAAATGCAAAGTACTGTATGTATGTAATGGGAGCATTTTCTTTTTCATCGTTTGTCTCTTCTCATCTTTTCCTCTGTTCTATGTCAATGCATTTTTACAGATCATTATGATTAGTGAACATGTTCTGAATTCTTAAGAAACTTACAGAGGTAGGGGCCAAGACTGGGAGAAGCTGCTTGTTCATTCACATACCGTCGGAGTCCTCTGATATAGAAGTCATAATGCGCAAGAAAGGATTTAAAGGTACCAGACCAAGTTTTTGGGTTCTTCAGGTGATTAGACATTTTTAAGGTCTGCTTCTACCTGATTTCTGAGATCAGAACAAATCATGTTTCCTTAATTTTCATTCTCTTTTGTGGAAAGGTATAATTTTGCCACAACTGGTGCATTGCCTGTAATCCTGTCCTAGCAAGAATACAAACTTCAATTTTATTCTTTTTTTTGAAAAGAACTCAGTACGATAACCACCCTTATAGAGTTCTTATATGAGCACTGAGTTTGATTTTTTTGTTTTAAAATTCCTCGCTGTTTTTTCACATTCCAGGGACTGCCTCTCCTGAATTTGGTGAGCTTTAAGGAAATTTTGAATGTAGTCAGTAATTTAGCTATAAAAGGATGTCTTTTATTGGGGGAACTTCCATCTTGGCTTTCAGAAACTGAAGTGAGTTCCAAGGTTAGATTGCAACCATCATTGCTGTATTCTTTGTCTGTTTCAATCTCCTTACCATGAAGATGCATTTGTGTCTCTGCAGTCCACCCAAAACCAATGGATTGATAACCTCTTTATGAGCCATGGTTTCCAAGTGAATATGATCCAGTATGATCAAGTCGCAAGAGATTTTAGGAAAGAACTGAAAGAAGATGGAAATAGGAACATTCTCTTTGTTGCGGAACAACTGCGATATTCTGATGATCAGGTAAAACATCCCACAAGTTCCATTATGATTTTATATTGCCAAAACACCGTAGTCTTATTTTCCTTTTTTCTGGCTTCTTTCTTTATGATCATGAATTTTTTACCAATTTCTCGATACCATTATGCATATGTTGAGTTCCTAATTAAGGAGGACAAGATTTACGCTTGCTTTTCCACAAAGCATGATGGCAATTGTGTTGAACTTCATGATTGTTAAATGTGGTCATTTTCCAGCAATCGTAAGAATCCTGTTTTTACAGCTTTCCACTTGCTCCAGATCACATTTTTGTGCTGAAGGATACAATTTCTGAAGCATAGGTTCATGAATAAAAACTGAATTTAATCTTTAAAGTGTCCAGCTATTTAAAATTTGAAATTGATCAGATGGAGACATGGAGAAGAGAATTCCAGAGGATAGAGGAAGAAGCGGATGAAGAAGGCTTCGAGGAGCTGTAATGGTGTTGGTCGGATGTGATTTAATGGAGAAAATGCAACTTCTGGAGTAGGTCATGATGGTGCCAGAAGTTGAACATGCTGGCCCGGCCATGATTTTTTTTTGTTTTTGTTTTTGCACAGAATAGAGATCGCTCGCAGTGATTGTGCACCATTAGTTTAAAAGAGGTGACAGCGATTCGTTTGAAGGCTTTAGATTCAAATAGGTTAGACCGGAAAGATCAAACATTTCAAAACAACTAGCAACTTCATTCTCATGAATGAGGTTTATGATGCTCTCTATTTCGCTTCATAACCAGAGTCATATTCTACCTTACTTCTTTGCATCTTGAACAAAGGCTATTTGGAATGGTGATTTTGTTATATATGCACAACCCATTCTTCGTTTTTCCCCATTCACTCTGGAATATTTAGGGCTTGTTTGGCCAACATTTTGTTTTAGTTTTTTATTTGGATTTGAGATGTGATTTAAAATGTGTTTTGAGATAAAATTTAAAAAGTTGTTTGGGTAATATTTTAAATAAAATATTAATATTTTTAGATCATCACCGGACCACCTCCACCACCGACCGGACTGCCCACCATCGCCGTCGGACCGTCGCCGGCTGGTGGATCCTGGCCAACTCGTCGGAATCCTGACCGGTCGGCTGCGATGGTGGGCGGTTCGGCGGTGGTGGGTGGTGGTGGAGGTGGTCCGGTGGTGGTAGAAGAAAATTGTATAAAAATAATTTTTGGAATATTTTAAAAAATAAATTAAAAAGATCCGACCGGCCGGCTGTGATGGTGGGCGGTTCGGCGGTGGTGGGTGGTGGTGGAGGTGGTCCGGTGGTGGTAGAAGAAAATTGTATAAAAATAATTTTTGGAATATTTTAAAAAATAAATTAAAAAGTTGTTTGGATAGTATTGAGATTTGTGTTTGAGAGGTAAAATGCGACAAAAAGGTAAAACAGCTCTTGAACAAACAAGACCTTAGAATCTCGGTAGAAGTGTACTAGTCAACAAATATGATCCTTATAATTTAAAATAAACGAAGTAGAGTGGTATATACCCCCTCCATCCTACAAAATAGTCCAGTTTAATAAAAAGTTTGTTAAAAAAAATAGTTCAGTTTCACAAAATTTAAAATTAATTGAATTGAAATGATTTAAATACCCAAAAGAGTAGTGGTAAGGAAAACAAGGTCCACCTCCTTTGATTTTTATTTTTTTTTAGTTTTCTCTTATTTTTTCAAATGATTATATCTTTTAATACATGAATAATTAAAAAATGTGTTATATATCACATTAATATATGATTGAATAGGAAAATATATTTACAATTTTTTTTTTAAAAAAAAAACATACCAAAAAGAAATAAATCAGTCACCACGTAGTTGCCTCAAGGTTAAAAAAAGAAAATCAGAATATGTAGTACATTTAGCGGAAAAAAACTACTCTTCATTCGTCAACCCATTAGACGACACCGTGTGGCGACTGATGTAAAATGGGGCAATACAAACTTACTTTCAGGCGCCAAAGTCGTGCTCTGCACAATTCTCTTCCTTGAGAAGCTTTCTTCTCAGTAAATACTCCTATATAAATAAAAACCCTCTTTTTTTTCAATTCAAAGCATCACAAAAAAATCCAAAGCTACTCTAATGGCTACTCAGCAACTCAAAGTGGATGAACTCCGTTCCGAATTGTCCAAACGAGGGTTGAGTACCACCGGAACTAAGCCCACACTCGTTCGCCGCCTTGAGGCCGCCATAAAGGCGGAGGAGGAGGAGGAGAAGGATGTCAAAAAAACTAGCCGGAAAAGGCAGCGGGATGACGAAGGGAGTGGGGTTTCTGACCACGGGTCGCAGAAATTGAAACCCACAGAAGAAGATTTGAAAAAAATGAGTGTTAAAGAGCTAAGGGAGCAGGCTAATCTTCAAGGGGTTTTAGCCACTGGGTCCAAGAAAGAACTACTTGAAAGGCTAATCAGTGATGCTGATGGAAATCCTGCTAAAACAGGTTCGTTCTTTTAACGGGTCTGCTTCTTTGAGTGAATTGAAGGGTTATGTGAATGAATAGTTTTTTTTCCCCCATTATATGAGTGAGTTTTATAGGGAATTGGCTTTTTGAGTACATATTTTGAATTATGATTGATGGATGGATTTCATGGGATGGCAGATAAAGAGGAAGAAAAAGAAGAAAAGAAACAGAAACAAGTTACTGCAACCAAGAAGGGTGCGGCTGTTTTGGATCAGTGTATTCCTGATGAAATTAAGTCAACCTACCATGTTTTGCAACAGGCAATTATTTCTTTTACGCAGTCTTTTTTTCGCCCTTTGATGCTGGCTCTATTTTTTAAGTTTTGGTTTTCACTGTCCATCACAGCTGAACTGATTTCTTTGCGGTTTTTTTTTTTTTCTCTTTACTTTGTTCGGTATAGGGCGATGACATTTATGATGCCACTTTGAATCAGACCAACGTTGGGGATAACAATAACAAATTCTACATTATTCAAGTTCTTGGTATGTATCAAACTCTATGTAGGCATTAATTCTGAATTTTGGTCATTTTTGAGTTTCATGTTCCAAGTGATTAGTGACTTATTCAGTCCCATTGCACATGGGAATGCTCATTTATGCTGTCCCTCATTTGTCAACCGCAATTTTCTTTGTGTCCTTATAACTGTAGAATCTGATGCCGGGGGAAGATTTATGGTGTTTAATAGATGGGGTAGAGTTGGTTCAAAGGGTCAGAATAAGTTAAGTGGCCCCTACACATCGAAAGAAGAAGCCATTGATGAGTTTGTGAGCAAGTTCCATGGGAAGACTAAGAACTATTGGCACCATCGTCATGAATTTGTTGCTCATCCCAAGAGCTACACCTGGTTGGAAATGGACTACAACGAAACTGGTCAAGAAAGCGTGAGTTACATTTTAGAACCCAGTTATAATGAGTCTATGCTTTTCTTATTGGTTTAGACTAGAGAACTTGATATTCAAGGTAAACATATTTCAATTTCATTTGCAATTAAGTTTCTCGATCAAACCTCACCATGATGTTGTCGAACACTCCTTTTTGACACTTTGGTGATGATAGATGTTGGCGAACACTCCTGTTTCACACCTTGATGATGATTGATGTTTTCAGGTCCAGGAAACATCTGCACCAAAAAGAGATGTCCAACCTCGTGAGACACAGCTGGAAGCAAGGGTTGCGAAGTTCATTTCTCTCATTTGTAGCATCAGCATGATGAAACAACAAATGCTAGAAATAGGTTTGTTTTATTAATCTCATAGTGGTACAAAACAATAATAAGTCAAAGAAACTACTTGAGCTTTTTTACTTATCAACTATTCTCGTGAAGTTGGAGGAAAGTGGTCATTAGATGTGTGTCCTTTGGGATGAATGCTTATGTGATTTTTTTTTGTTGTTTCTGTCACTATTTAGACCTTTATAATTATTATTGTCACGAAACACTCTCATTAACCTAGCTTCCCTCAATAGAAAATTGCATTGCATGCAATTAAACAAAAAATATTTTGCTATTTTTTGCTTGGAGTTGGAATGCTTCAATGTTCAAAGATATTTCTGCTGTTGATGTTACAGAGTCTAATATAGTTGTTATAGGAGATTCATCATTTGCATTTGGTTCCAGTTGAGAATCAGTGTGTTTCCAGCATGCTTGATTAGAATATAAGATCCTATCTGCCAAAAACCTTTAATTCTGTGTCTTCTCTATTAGTATAATATATGGCTGCAACTCATACATTAGATTAGTTGTGGTTCTTCAAATTCTTTACTGTTCGATTTCTTTAATGCCAGCTTGGTGAATGTAATGTGTAACATTTGTTTAATGGCAGCTTGATGAGTGTAATGTAACATTTGTTTACTATTTAATACTTAACAGGATACAACGCTGAAAAGCTACCTCTTGGTAAACTAAGCAAATCAACAATTTTGAAGGTAAAATAATTGTATCCTTACAATGTATATTGCAACATGTACCTTTGAGAAGGTGATCTCAACAGAGATTGGGCAGCTCTTAATTAGGGCATCAAACATAATAGATGAAATTAATTGATACTGGGAAAAGTTTGATGGTTTCCTGATTGGTTTTTTATGTCCGTGCCATCCAAAAGTAGAGTCTTTTGTATATGCACATCACATATGGAAGCCCGTTATGCAAGTACCATAGTTTTCAGTAAGGAAATGTTTCTATTTTTGCTTAGTGGAAGAAAGTACATCAAAGCTCTTGTTGGTTTTATTTGGATGAAACTTTGTTGGAAAACCATCATTTTGTTTGCTCTAGAATAATATAACGTGCTTGGGTGGCTCTGTCAAACTTTCTAAAATGTTACATGGTTATTGATTCTCTGAAGTCTGGTTACTTACCTTCTGTTAACAAGTATCGCATCTCTGTTTCTTGTATTTTTTTCTCATGATATTTTCTTAATGCGAGTAGGGATATGATGTGCTGAAAAGAATTGCAGATGTCATTGGGCAATCAAATAGGACAACTCTAGAGCAATTGAGCGGGTAAGAATTCATAAATTTTGTGTTCTTTGTTTCAACATTGTTGCAGCACATTTAGCATGGGTTTCATAATTTACTGTGCTAATGCCTAATCTTTTAAGTCATTTCCGCTTTGCAGGGAGTTTTACACTGTTATACCCCATGATTTTGGCTATAAAAAGATGCGTAAGTTTCTGTCTTGCCACATTGGCACCATTGTGATTTTGTTTTTTAGATCTCCAAGCAGATTTTCCTAATATGGTTGCAGGAATAGTGTAAAGTAATAGGACTATATCTTCATCTTTTTCTTTAATATTTTACTGATTCCTTTGATCATTTCAGTCTTTTCCTCACACTGTACGTGATTGTAGGTGAATTTGTGATTGATACCCCTCAAAAGTTGAAAGCCAAATTGGAAATGGTGATTATTCTCTGTCATTTAGTGTCATCTTTTATTGGGGTTTTAAAAATACAATTTTTTTTTAAGTAGTCATTTCTTTTTTGATGCACAAAACATGGAAGTTTTCTTTATGATCTTCAATTGATGTTTATTTCTGCCTTGTGGTTGTGGATGTTGCACAGGTTGAAGCTCTTGGGGAGATAGAGGTCGCAACAAAATTGTTAGAGGATGTTAATTCAATGGAGGTACTAGTTTCTAGCCTCATTTATCACCATGCATGTGCCAACGATGTTATGTCACTTGAAAACATTCTTTTCTTTGCTTCAAAACACAGTTGATTAAATGTTAATTTGCAAACAAATATGCTAACACTTCTCCTCTTCTTTTTTTTTGGCTTCTGATTAGGAGGATTCTTTATACTATCAATATCAACGGCTTCATTGTGAACTGAACCCTATTGAAGTTGGTTCTGATGAGTACATTATGGTATTTCTTTTAATTGCCAGATTTCTTCACTTATGAACCCAAGTCTTCAAAAAAACTGGAGAGTATTCTATTCGAAAACTCGATAGAGATATGTGTCTGATAGTTATTTCACCTTCCAATTTCTGTTTATGGAACCAATCTCTTTGCCTTCCCCTTATAGAGATGAATTGTTTTTTGAACTTTCAGATTGAAAAGTATATGAAGAACACCCATGCAAAGACTCATTCAAATTATTCGGTTGATATCGTTCAAGTATTTAGGGCTTCGAGAGAAGGTGAAGCTGAACGTTTCAATAAGGTAAAAAATGTCAAAAGAGATTCTTCCCCCTTATTGTCTCTGTTTTTTTGTACATTGTGAATCTTTTAAAGTTAACAATCTTTTCATGGTTTTCTGAGTAGTTCTCCACAACCGGGAATAGAATGCTCCTATGGCATGGTTCTAGGCTCACGAACTGGGCTGGAATTCTTTCCCAAGGTTTGTTCGGTTTGTTTTTTATGTGCAAGTATATGTACGTGTTGGGCATTTGAAAAATCTAGAAATGTTTCGTGGATATCATCAGGTTTGAGAATTGCTCCTCCCGAAGCACCTGTCACGGGCTACATGTTTGGAAAAGGTGTTTATTTTGCTGATATGTTTTCCAAAAGTGCGAACTATTGCTATACATCTCATTCTGCAACAGCTGGGGTGTTGCTTTTGTGTGAGGTTTGTTTCTTACCATGTGGAATCCATCTATCTTCAAGCCTACATGTTTTATTATTGATATCAACTACATTTTTCCCAAAGAAATAAAAGAACGGAAAATCTTGACTAGAGAACAAGAACCTTTTTTTTTTCTCTCTTTTGTTTGATCTTTTTTATATTCTTTTATGCAATTTGGAATGTGGTTCAAGCATTTCTATCAAGATATTTGTGTCACATTTGAACAATGCAGTTTTTGGATTTAGAATGGATTTTGATGTGTACGGATTCTACGTGTCGATTGACAATGCTTTCTTTTTAGGTTAAAAAATTCACTTTAGGAATGAAGTTATGTGTCTGTAAAACTTTCCGTTTCCTTATTCTTTTAGGTTGCATTGGGTGACATGGTTGAGCTAGTGAACGCAGACTACAATGCTGACAAATTGCCCCAAGGGAAGCTGAGGTTTGAACAAATTACCCTTAGTTTTTTAAGTTTGTTGAGATACTTTGTCTAAGCCGTCGGTAGATGATTAACTTACACAATAATAACAAATATTGCAGCACTAAAGGAGTTGGCCAGACAGCTCCAGACTTGTCTGAGGCCCAGGTCTTGGATGACAATGTCATTGTTCCCCTAGGAAGGCCAAAAGAGCAAAGATCCACCCGGGTTTGGCTTCTTTTCTCAGTCAGTTTTGACAACTTTTATGTAAAAAGCTATAAGCAGACTTTTTTATTATCTTGTTTTCTTTTGCAGGCAAGCTTACTGTACAATGAGTACATTGTTTACAATGTAGAGCAGATTAAGATGCGTTATATCTTGCACGTAAACTTCAATTACAGAAGATAATAACAAATAGCGAAGAAGACAATTTAACCTTCTTGTTCATTTCCTTATCAAAGAGAGCTGGGGTGGCATAATTTTGCGAGTTTTGTAGATGTTGGTGCTTCCTTTTGAACTTGGCTGGTCTCTGCTGAGATTCATATGAATGTCATAGCCAGTATATTTGTATATACATCTTGAAATTATTGATACAGCATGATATAATACTGCTTTACAGTTCGATGCTTCCAGGCTCCAGCAAATGTTATATAGATATTTTTTGCCTCCATAATCATAAAATGTCTATTTAGTCAGTTCTGTATAAATTAAATGTAAAAATATTTTGTGATATTTAAAAAATTAAATAAAAAAAAAACAAAACTATTATGAGATATCTCACGGAGACTATTGTGTTGAAATTCAATAATATCATTGCATGTTTTGGTCTATCTATTATAATAAATACAGAAATTTAGTTCTGCTTATGTCTTACTTTTGTATTGTTTGTAGTGTTTTTTATTTTTACCATTTTTTTTTTATCTTTGATATTTCATAATTTTCTTGAATCTGGTTTTCCTGTTTTGTTGAGAGAAAGGTCTTACGATTTCTTGACTTTTTTGTGTACGCTCCAAGATCTTTTCGTCCTGTCGTTGGTTCTTTTTTACTTAGTTTTTTTTTCTTCTTTATGTTTTTATTTAATGATATAAATTCGCCCTTTTCTTTTCCAATTTTTTTTTTCTTTTCTTGATATAAGTTCCCGGCATTATCAAAAAAAATTTTCTTTTCTTTTCGAAAATTTAATGATATAAGTTCTCGGCGTTAAAAAAAAAAAAAAAAATTCTTTTCATTAACAACATTTTCAACACTTTCATTTAAATTTAAAGTACTCGTTATTTTTATTTATGAAAAAGAAAAAGAAGATAAACACATGATCACATTCACATCCTATGCTTAAATCATTAAATACATAAGGACTTAATCGTCCTTGTCGATTATGTTCATACCATTTACTGAATAGTCATTTCACATTCTCTCGATTAACAAAAACCTCCCAAGTAGTCCGGGAGGATTCGGGGTTAACCAGTTGAATTCCGGCGGTCTCCGTCGTTAAGCCGATCGAACAGTGAGAAATCTCAGTTTTTCCGTTAGGTAATTTCTCCGACCACCTGGACGGCCACATGGGCTGCGCTTGTTTTCCTTCCATGTTTTACAGTCATCATGCGCAAAACCTGTTTGTTAATTTGCCTGAGTAAATTGAGGGGTTCTCGTTTGTGCCAATTTTTGTTTTCGTTGAACGGATTTTAGGGCTTTGTTGCATATGATCTCTTATAATATATTGGATTTGGCTACTCTTTTTGTTATTTCGGCAGTTATAGAATCTATTGGGCTTTGAAAGATCACTATAAGAATTATTATGGCGGAGAGGCAACCAGCTGATCAACTGCATGGACTTGATTCACAATCTCCTGCTTCTGCTGCTGCAGCATCCAAGGATGATATGATTGGCTATGTAATGGCATTGGAGGCAGCTTTGCTCCCGTGTTTGCCTGCCCGGGAACTCCAAGCCATCGACCGTTCTCCTCATCCTTCACATCAGAGTTAGTGCATTGATTCGTCTGTAGCATGAATCTATTTCACCATGATGTTTCTTTTAAGTAATTTCTTATATGATTTGCATCTTGAGATGCCATAAAATTTTGAGTAATGATACTACATTATACATAATTCTCTTGAAATTTCTTTGTGACTGGCGTGTGGCAGCTATATTCCTAAACATAATTAAATTGTCAGACATTGAACTCACAGTTGCTTTGTGTTGTACCGTGTGAACTTTACATTAGTTAGTTTTCGTGATCATTTATGCAGTATTTTGTAGTCACTTCAATATTTTATGTTGCACTTTTGTATAATTTTCCCATTCGGATTTGAAACTTACTGTTCTAAATTTCTCAGTTTCATTGTAGCTCTTTTGTAAGGGACCAATATTTTTCCGTTTTTTATTCTCTTGGAAGAGAAGGTTTGCAAAATATAGGAGGCATTTGATGGAAAGTTATGTTTTGAATTCAACGATTTCGATTTTGTCTCTAGGGAAGACCTTCCCTGGTTTTGCTAAATGAGGCGATAACTTTGACTTCTGCAGTTGATGTGGAGCGACATGCCAGAGATTTCATGGTGGCTGCAAAGAAGCTTCAACTCTATTTTGTTAGTTTGCAGCGGGAGGATCAGCCTACCAAAGCAGAAACCCTTCGGACGGTAAGAAACTTTTAAAAATGCAGATTGCAGAACAAGATGGTGTTACTCTTAGCCTCTTTCACCTCTCCTCATTTCAGCTCCATAATGTTTACTTCATGCCTTAAAATTTTGCTAATCTAACAGGAGATTACCAGAATGGAAGAAGAATTGAAATTGAAGGATGAGCTTATCCATCAGCAAGAAAGGCTAATTCAAGGATGGATGAAGGAGTTGAAGGAGCAATTGGACAAACACAATACTGAATTAGAAAGGGTGTAACAGTAATGTCAGTTTACTAAGAGGGGTTGTGAGTGACTTGTGACAATGGCCACTCTTGATTGGAGGACAATATCATTGACTTAGTGAAAAGGAACAATTCTGTTTGTTGTTTGATGTTTTGAGCATAAGAAATAAGCAGCAGCTAAATCTTTTTTGCTGCAACAAATCTCGGAGGGAAAATACATATTCAATCTCAAGGAGCCAAAGAAAAAAAGAAGCTAAACAGATACAAATAATGATAAATAAAGAATCTTTGCAGGGTTTAGCCACCAAGATACAGAGGAACAACATCTAGGTGAACATTGCATCAAGGTGTAAGTAATTACAGCTACCCTAGACATCTAGAAACCAAAAAGCCTCATAAATAATTCACAGCCTAATGAGAAATTTAAGCGCGACTGAGTAAACTAAACAAGACAAGGGGAGTGCCATCAACTACTTCTTGGCATAAGTAACAATCATTGGGTTGTCATTTGCTATCTTAAAACCCTGAAGTGCCTGCATTGCAATGGTCGATTGCATCTCGTTCTCATACTCTACAAAAGCAATCCCAGGTTTTGCTTCAATCATCCTAACTTCTTTGAATCCAGGGTATTGACAGCAGAGCATTTGTAGCATCATCGAAGTAGCCTCGTGAGGAAGATTCTGGATGAACAGAATATTATTTGGCGGTGCAGGAGCCTCTGGCAAGGCAGGATTTACACCACCCATGTATGGTAGCTGTGACAACATTTAAAGGGACAAAGTTAATACTTCAAACCCATGGAACACAAAATGTAATGTGTGGGAGCAAGTAAACTTTTTTAAGCGTAAAAGGCTTAGTCAAACAGAAAAGAACCAAGTACGAAGATACTTAAGCAATGGGGTCGTGAAATAACCAAATGGCTCCCAATTAAATAAGGCCTTGGAGGCTGGGACTACTAGCTTATTCTATGAGTAGTTCGCATAAACACCAAAAGACCACCTTACTATAAAATTATTGTCGATATGGTAAATATTGCATGAACTCTAAAAAGGCACAAATTCTTTCCTCTCTCTCTGAGTTTTCTAGATTCGGTTTTACAGGGAAAGAAAAGTATACGACTCAAAATATTAATGCAATGTTTAAAACCTAGCTTCGTTCACTGTTGACACTAGAATAGGCTGATTAAAAGTTTTCTAGAATCAACATTCAACCCAGCCCCATGCACGACAGCAAGGAAGAAGAACTCCATGTAGAAAAGGCAGATATACTGCAAACTCTAAGCGTGTTTTGCCAGGGAAGAAAAAGGTTGGCATCAGGTACATGAAACATTTCATTTAGTGCTGTGTCTTGTTCCTTTCTTAAGGGAGCTTTGTAAGAAAACACTCAGATTCAGAATGAGGATAACCCATGGAAGTTCAGACTAAAGATACATGGCACCCATTACAGTTAACAGACTTCTGTATTCGGGAGCACAGTTCCAGTGAATCAAACAGTATTCAGAAAAGGAGTATAAGCCTTGCACAGATGAAGCTTAAAATCATTGGTGGGTTAGTTATTCTTAACAATCCTTTCATGCCATTTTCAAACTTAAACTATTCAATTTCATCTGGCTTCATCACTTCAATACCTTTAATGTGGCAGCGATCTCAATAAATGAACCAAAAACTTATCATGAAGGGGAAAATGGAATGTAAAATTGAAATTTCAATAAAAAGAATGTAACTCTTACTGGAGGTACAGTGCCGTACGGAACAGGATATGCAGGATTTAGACCAACTGCAGCTTGGCTTGCATCTTGCTGATCCTTTTTCTTTCGCCCTGAAACATATATAAATAAATGGACCTCATTACAGGGTTAATACAACCACAAATTCCATGTACAAAAAACAGCATCATGTTTTGCAGAAAACGTGATGAAATTTTCCTCTAAATTTAATTATTCCAGTTTCAATATACACTCATCTTCCAATTTACATTGTTTATTGTCTTACTTAATATGCAACTCCCAAGCTGAAAGCTCCCTGAACAAATGTTTATGCCCATCCACAACAAGAAGAAGATTACTTCTTTATTGTAATCACCACTGAATACTATCTACCGATTATAAAGATAAAACAAAATTTGTCAAGTTGAAAAATTCTAATGACCCGAACTATAAAATTCACTTCATATGTTGTTCTTGCCCCTCATTTCCTCAATCTACAAACTCAATACATACCTACACAAAGACTCAAAGGAGGCAATTCCCATTTCACCAAGCGGAAATGCTAAGAACCTAAATTCAAATTCAAATTACAATATTCTTCAGGCAAAAGCACAGAAAACTAGAATAATCCAATGACCAAATATGAAAGAAAGGCAAAGAATTACAACTATCCGAATGGCTTGATTAACAACAGGCACGCCACATATCAAACTTAAAACAAATGGTAGTGACAGCTTACCTTTCTCATCTTGCCTCTTCTTCTTCTCTCGAGGTACGAAAGTACCATCCGCCTTTGCTATTATATCGGATTTCGTCTTGGCGTACTGTATGATCTGAAAAGTTATCAAAAACACACCTTGTCAAAACTAAAACAAAGAATGCTCAGTTAATTTACATTGACAACTCTTAAAATGCACAACATATCTTCTCTAAATTTCTACTGAAACGTGCCACCCAAAAGTCCACAGAAAAGCCAAACGTTCCCTTCAGCCAGCAACCTAATCTTTATAAATTAAACTGAAACCCTAAAAAAGAATAAGCGGGCTCCAACATAAGTGACTGCGGCCGTGTAATATTAAAGATTTAGGTGCTCTGAATTTTTTAATCAGCTAACCTATTGATGCAAGAATAAATGCACAAGTACACAAAAGTATGACGGGTGCAGCAAACTGCAAATGCTGCATGAGTCAAATTATCGCAATCAATCCCTGGTGCGAAAAGGACCCACTTAGCAGCATAAGGAAACTAGATTTGGATTGAACTAAACTAACCAAAACTCTGAACACTAAACAAATCAATTGAGAAAAGCACCACAAACAAAAGTAAAATAAAATTGCAGGAGAAGAATGCTTTAGAGTTGTGGGGAATACCATAGGCTTATCGTAGAAAGGAAAGCCTTGCATCTTACGAAGAGCATTGGCAGCCGAGGAAGGATCTTCAAACACGACCCAGGCTTGTCCTTTATGCTTTAGGGTTTTAAAGGCCAAAACTTCCAGAATAGTCCCAAACTGTGAGAAAACTGCGTGCAGCGATTTCTTCAATTCTGAAAAGGCAACACATATAAAATATCAATCATACAGAAATCAACATGAATGTAGCACTTAAAATTTGTTTTTAAGTCGAATGTTAATTCAAAAACACAGAAGAAAAACAATCGGAAACAGGGGAAAACAATAATACTACCATCGATTTTGATCTTCTCGTTGAGTCGTTTAATGTAAATAGTCTGGTTCAGAGGAATATCACTTCCTGGAGTTGCTGCTAGTTCCGCCATTACTGAGCCAGTGAATAAACTCGAAATTGCTTTGTCGGAGGGAGATGAGCAGCTATGGAGGTTTGTTCTGGAATTAGTGGTGCTGCTCAAATAGGGGGCTTTGATTTCAGCGACATAAATGGGCTTGTCATTTATATATTGGGCCATTTGCTGACAACCTAATTGGGCTCACTTAGCTGCCACCTTCACTTTCAAATCCGGTCCACATAAATTGGGCACTGTAATCCGTAAGAAGAACTGAAATTGTTGTCAATACCAAATTTGGTATTACTTCGAACTCTTTCCATTGTTATCAATGTTTTGTATTTAAGCCCTTTGGGCTTCCCAAATATAGAAGCAAAACTAGAACTTTTAAGCTGGAGGCAACCATAGCACATATTGATGCAGTTTTAGGAGCTCAACATTTCGTTTCTTTTTTTTCCTATCTACCGAATTCTTAAGTTGAAGTTTGAATGACGTGAAAAAATTACTCTTTCCATACCAAAAAAATAGTACGCTTTGTTGAAATTGGCCGTTTTTCTTGGACAGAAGAAGTAAACAAATTTTTGGAAATGGAATGGGCCAATTGTACTAAATATAGAATCTGATTTTTGAACTCACTTGTAAGCTAATCTGTTTCTTTTTCTTTGTTAGAAAAGGCCCAAATTGAGTGACGGCCTAGTAAGTTCATTGCCTTCCTCCCTTCTTTCCTCTGCAGCAACCAACAAATTGGACGTCGGCACTACTGGGTCACGTTGATTTATTTTCTCCTCCTTTTTCTTTTTATTTTTTTGTTTGTAAAATTTTTAAATTAAAATGGCTAGAAGACGTCCAATGACGGACTTGTAGAGTTTGAAGAACCAGTTGGTATAAGCAAATGACATTTAAGCATGTCTCTCAATTATAAATGTCAAAATTTAATTTAACTAAAACAATGTTAAAGCATAATTGTCATTGTCTTTTTCATTATGACTGTATTGAGTCATGATGCTTATCTGAATCCCATCGATCTACACATCTTTTTTTTTTTGTTCAAAGAGAATTGTATCGTTAGTCCTCCTAAACTAAAAGTTACTATTATGAAATTTTACTTATATACAATTAATCATATTATCATAAGGTGATAACGTTCTACTTTCTGTATAATATTTTGATTTCATTAACTTCTGATCAGATAGAGCAATAAACCATCCATTTTAAATGAACGTGAATTGTGCTGTGACATCCTGATTATTTATTTATTTTTGGAAACGATGAACAAGGACTAATATTGCTCTAAAACTCCTCACTAATATTTTTTTTTATTTTTTTGATTAAAAAAAAAAGAAAAGAAGAAAGTGTTCATTAATGGGTAGCCTTATGAAAGCTGGAATTTAATAAACTAGCACTCCCTCCGTCCCATAATTATTGTCCAGTTTTGATTTTTATTTTTAGTTCAAATTGTACTAAAAGTAAAATCTCAAACTGGACAATAATTTTGGGACAGAGGAAGTACTAAACTAGACTTAACTCAATTTTCGAACTGTTCAACTAACTATTCATCATTTCATAAATTTTGAGTTAGTTTTCATCCAACTTCAGCATCTTCAAGGTATACCACCCCCTTACCTCTTTTGCCTCTTGGCACCCTTAAAGAGACATGAAAGTGGACCTAAAAATCTCCATAGTTTAAACAGTTTATAATATCAACGTTGAAAGAGGAATAAATGGAATAGAGAAACGGCGGAATTATCAATTTTTGTCTCCCCTTTCTTCAACCATATGCTTATTCTATTCAGTTTCTGAATTTGAGATATCGATTCGAAATCAATCTTGTATTTTTGTTAGTATATATGAGATCATGGCTATAAATGATCAACCTATGTCTGTATCTTTGCTCTATAGTTTAATGCATGAAATTCTGCACTGAGATATATATCTCCAGTTGTGGACGTCCGACAAAAAAAAAAGCGATAACGATGTTTATTACAAATATTAGGTCATTTTAGGTCGTGACATCACAGCCAGGGCTTTTCAAATGTGACAAGCGGGATCCTCAAAACCAGAATTATTGATGTTTTAATCTTACCACAATAATCTAAGTACAAAAAATACAGTTCATAATTGAGTGGCCTTAGTTTATACGTAGGACATGCTCTTCATGCAACCCTACTTGCAAAAGATTGGTCTAGAGGGGCTGCTTTTAAAAGTGACAAATTTTTTAAGATTGGGATTCATGTGATAGCTTATATCATTTTTATGGTTTTCTTTTCCTTTCATAAAAGAGAAAACGTATAGCCGTATATAAATGATAAAAGATCTCCAAAGATTCAAGGTTCTTATTGCATTACATGCCTTATGTTCTACGTCAAAAAAGAAAAAATTGTATCCTGATGCATGTTGAAGAGGTGATCAGGAATGGAATGTTGGTCATGCGGCTACTAACTCAGAAACTCGATATTGATCGATTTCTACAAGTGACAAGAGAGATCGATCTCTTTTCAAATAACATCTGATTAAATATTTTGCAACAACAGCAAACCTCGTGACAATAATTTCCCATTTAAGTTGTCACGGCGAGGATGAATTTCATCACGTAAACCTAATAAAAATAAGTACTCCTTTTATTTTAGAAAAATAGTGCATTTTGTTGAATTATAACAGTACAATAAAGTAGGCTATTTGTTTAGGACGGATGGAATATTACAAAGCAATTTGTTTTTTTTTTAAAAAAAAAAAGAGAGAATAGAGGTTTGCTACCTATCCATTTTAGAACCCCCCCAAAAGTGATGAAAGTGTTACGTACAAGGAGCAGTATGCTTTGTATCGATTTAGACCAGCCAATTAATGACATTGCTTTCGTTGGTTTTCATCCTCCCTCGAGCCATTAAGGTTTTTGCATTCGACTTTGGATTCAAATGTTCGATTTAGGTACGATCTTACATTTAAATGTCAAATTTTCAAGCATCTTGCTTAATATGGTCTACGAGAAAAAGAAGATACCCCCAAACATTATTACCCCCATATGAACTAAGATTCTGAATTATATCGATTGAGCTTGTTATCTAGTAGTTTTCGATCCAGCTCAATCACATCATAAAGAATACCACGCATATGTACAAGCAATGAATTAAAATAATAATAAAAATATTCCTATTATCGTTAAATGATTGTCTTATTTATTTAATTATATATTAACTCAGATACATGGGTGATAATTAAAATTACATGAAAACAAATAATTTAAATAGCAACGAATTAGCGTGCTAATGAAATATTTTTACGTAAAATGCATGATCATGGAATTTTAAATAAGATGGTCAATGATTCAATGCTTGATGGAGAAGCAATGACAGTTCAACTTGATCACGTAGACTTCAGCAGTAGTTAATCATTGTGGAACTAACTAATCGTCATCGTCAATTATTAATAGCCGTTGTTAATTATCTTTTCATTTAGCCACACGCAATCATCGATATCCAAAAAGAAGAATAAAAATAAATTACACTAAAATTAAATAATTTGGTTTTGTCCTCTGATCGAGATTCTAAATGGCCTTTTTCCCTTTTTTTTTTTTGGCTCTTCGATTTGGTGCATGGCCGGTTGTTTGTATGGCGCTCGTCAAGTGATACAAAAGGACAAATTAACCCAAATATATTAAGGTACATAATATTAATTAAATTAAGGCTTAAGCCTATGGATAATGAACACATAATCAATAATTTTGTTCAATAATCCTATAGAATATCGACATTATGTTTGTGGAAGTTGGAGGGGCACTGGAATCTTCGTGTACTTTCTTTCTTTGGTGGAGAATCGGTACAGAGTAAAGAATCCCAAATCAAAGGGCATGTTTCCCCACCCGTCATATCATGACCAAGAAATTTCACAGAAATAATTTGAGGTAACAAACGGCCTTTTTTCAAAACTATTTTTTGTATAGTATGTCGACCACATTATATATAAATAATAAAAAATTTAGGGAAAAAAAAAAAAGAGAAGAAAGAAAAGAAACTCGAGTTGCAAATAATTGACAGTAAGTAGAGCTGTTAGTCTATATAATAATATAAACACGCCCTTTTTTTTTGGTTTGAGAACATACATAATTTCGATTATTTGTGAATAAAATAGATATTGCATTTTACTATTTCCCCGAATCAATAAACTTGAGTATATAGCTGCCAATTGCGCATCTGATTCTCTTAAAATAAACACTAGTTTGCTACAAAAGATCACTGAAAAAGATACTCCTTCCGTCTCATAATTATTGTCCAATTTAAATTTTTATTTTTAGTTCAAATTGTACTAAAAGTGAAATATCAAAGTGAACAATAATTTTGGGACAAAGGGAGTATCTAAATATCTATGCAAGAGTATCCCTACTTTTAAAAAATGGAAAATCTTAGAATTATGAATTGGAAATTATACAAATTAAAGTATCCATAAAATAAATGAGTGGGCCTTGAGGTTGTGTGGAAATTGAAGACAACAAAATAAGACCAAAGAGATTTTGTCTTAAAACTCTAACGTGCAATGAATCATCCTATGATAGTGAGAAATGTGAGATGTACGTGCACCAAGTTAGAAAAAAAATGTCTATACATAGTTACAAGTGTTTTATAGTAAAGAAATGAAAAAGATAGATCCATTGAATCTAATAAGATGCATCATCAAACTTTTTCCAAGACAATACGACTATTCTAATTGTCCAATACTCGACTTAATATATTCCGCTAATCAGTTTTAAAATTCATTCTTTTTCCAGCTTTTCTAGCTAAGAAAAATAGTAAGAAAATAAAGTATATAAGAAGCAAAGCAGTGAATTGAGAGGTTTAAATTACATAATTATTAAATAACTAGAATCTTATCATATCTGTTATGATTAATTATTATGTGTAGGTTGTGCAAGAAGTATTGTTGAAGCGTCATAAAACAAAGCCCAAAAATTAGAGAAATATATTTAGAAATCGTTATAAATTTAATATATATGAAAGTTTAGTTCTTTTTATACAAAGCTTTAGAAGAGTTATGTGTTTATACAAATGTAGAATATGGAAGCACTAAACATGAAAAAATATCCAACTGTAAAGTTAAGAGTAAAAATGGTACAAACTCGTCATGTTTTTAGAGAAAAAAAAAAATATATATATATATATATATATTAAAGGAAAATAAAAGAATACTATCTCTGTTACGACAAAATAATTACTTTCGCTGAATTAAAATGACTAATTTTTTCAAGATGACCGGAGTAAACATAGTTGGACAGCTTTTGACACCAAAGATTAATTGGGATCAATATTGCAAATTTTAACGAAAAATGGAAGTATGTAAATACTCGTAGTAGAAGAGGGAACTAGACAGGAAACAAATACTACCTAAGTCAAACTGGCCGCCAGCTTGCCTTTATTCGTAGTTGACCAAAAGACGGGAAGGCTAAGGTGGACTCTGATTGAACCACCTTTGACTGAATCATTCTAACTTCCTCGTATCATTTCATTTCCGTGTGGAAAATTTTTTGAGGCCAGGTCTCATACTACAATTGGCATTATGCTCTGTATGTTTTGTTTTATTTTCTAGTTCTATTAGTAGTGTTTTACTACTTTTTTCTGCCTCATAAGTATTATCCGGTTTGAGATTTAACTTTTGATACAATTTAACTTAGAAATGAAAACTGACAATAATCATGGGACGGAAGGAGTATCTGTTTGTAATTTTGTACCTATAATAACGTAATCTGATTTTTTCATATTTGTAAAGTATTTACCCTCGAAAATTTACTTCCCGTTCAAACATAATACTACTTATTCTATTCTAAAATAAGTGTCGTTTTAGCAAAATGAAGAAATTTCAAAATAAGTGTCGTTCTCACATTTGATGCTATTGGTGGACAATTTTATAATAGCGTTGGTTGAGGAGATTCAAGTAATTTTATTATCCTATTTAAGAATTTCTTAATTATGTGGAAAGTGTAGGACGAGATTTATTTTGGAATAGAAGGAGTAAGTTGTAAAAGTTAGATTGAGATTTGGGTGATTAATTAATAATTTGATAGAATACAAAAGATTTTGAAAGAAAAAATAAATTAAAGGCCATCCGCCGCCAAAGTAATCCAACAGAGAGTTGACACGTGGGAAGATACGGCCACGCACCGCCGCTGGGGATTCGTGACGTAAGAAGATTAGAAGAGTATTTGCAAAACATCAAAAGAAGTAACCCCACACACTTTAACACGTGGGTTCAGTGGGGCGGATCCCGGTCGCTTCACGTTTACTCTGGTTTATGTTACGCGTGTAATTAGGCAATTAATACTACTCCCCACAATCTAATTTCTAATTTACTAGTAATATAGAGAGGAGCTTCTTTTTTTTTTGAAATTATTTTTGGAACCCTAATTTAAAATCGTTTCAAATTTAGAGTTCAACAAATTTTGTAACTCAAGCAAAGATAAGAGTTGGTTTTCACTACTTTTTAGTCTGAAGTCTAACACTATCTCTCGTAACGAATTAATTTTACAGTTAGTGGCATAGATCATAGAAGAGAAGAGACCATTCAATACAACCGTATGAAATTTATATATTTGCGAGAGTTATTTTTAAAGTTTCTTTTTCAGACAGAGAGGGTAATAAAAGTTTCATAATAAATTATGTGTCATTATGCATCACAAATTTCAAAAAAAAAAAAAAAACACGATGCATCACAAATATTGGTTTTGTTACTCTTTGTTTACATATTTATCAAATCGATTATTTGTAAACTCAGTTGTCATTAATAATAATTGTCATTTCGCACTGGATTTATCATTCCGGACTTATCTATAGTGATTTACCTCTCAATGTGATTTGGATGCTATTGCAGTGGAAGTGATTTTACCCATTTCGATTGGGTTCCCGATATTACCAAAATAAAAAAAAAAAAAACAATAATAGTCAAACTTTTTTTTTTTGCATCCCTCGTTCCTTTGATCAAATCTCTATTTGATCGTTGATTGTGTATACTAGTACGCTTAGGAAAATTATTATTGTATTCTAGTTTTAGTATTTAGAACAAGTACTCTAATGTAAAATGAGATTGTGTGTGGTAGAGGGGCAATAGAAAAGAGAAAATTATTAAGTGTAAGTGTAACAACTGTATTTTTATTTTTTAATTCGATCATTATCATCACAGAAATTCTTTTATTTTTATTTACTTCCTTTATTTCAATGGTCATTACAAATTTTATCATTATCTCAAAAATATTCTTTTTACCTCATCCACTTGGTTAAACAGTTGTATGGGGATATTTACAGTGGGAAAAGATGGCGTGTTGGAGATGTGGAAGGGGTAAGGAAGCTTTTCAGGTCGGATTAAAAGCCGTCTTTGACGGAGGCCACACAGATTCTTTAATTAAATTACAATTAGATTTGCGTAATGTTGAATGGCCCACCACCACTTTCCTCGCAATTCAATTGACGCCCCCGGCGCTGGATTCGTCTCTCTCTCTCTCTCTCTTCTTCTCTTCTATATATACGCCACAATCAGCCCATTCCCTTCTTCACATTTAACCCTTTTTCCCACCCACAGAAAGAAACAAAACCAGTTTTCTACCCTAAAAACGGTGTTCTTCCGCCGCTGCTGCAGGAGGTTTTCGTCTTTCGGATTCTTTCTGCAGTAGTGTTGCCCCATTCCCCTGTTTTTTCTTCTGTTTGAACGTCTTTCGTTTCTCTTCTTATATATATTTTTCTTGCTCTGCCATCCCATCGTATCTTCTTTGTGATATAGAGAAAGAAAAATGGCTCGCTCTTTCACCAAGGCTAAGCTCGTCTCGGCCTTCGTTGCCGACCAAATCTCTGTTCTTGCCGCCAGGTAAAATCTCGTTTTAAAACTCTGGTTTTAATAATGAAGATGTAATCATTAATGGGTTGATTTTTTTTTTTTTTGTTTAATTTTGTTATGATTGATTATGTGATTGACGGTCGATTTTGATTTGGGTTTTGTTTTTTTAATTTATTTACAGGCGTGGGTATGCGGCTGCAGCGTCGCAAGGCGCGGCGGCAGGAAGCGGCGGTGTCAGGGGAGGGGTGAGAGGAAACATGAACGTGATGATGAAGAAAGGTGGTGGGGAAGAAACCACCAGGACAACCACCTCTTGGGTTCCGGATCCGGTGACCGGGTATTACAGACCCGAGAGCCATGCCAACGAGATTGACGCGGCTGAGCTCCGCAACCTCCTCCTGAAACACAAGCATTAAAATTGAAAAGGTTGCTTTGCATCCAATGGCTTATATTAGCTATCAATTTGTCGATCTCAACAGAAGAAAATGTTCTATGATTCGAATCCAATCCGTCCTATGAAGACATCGGTTTTGGGCCTCTTGTCGGATGATGATGATTTGTTTCTTAGATTATGGAACGCCGACTTAGGTGTTTGTTCTTTAGGCTCATGTAATCCTCTGTTACCTCTTATGGGGGGGCCATTTCTTTTTGACTAGTAAAATAAAAGTCTCCGTTTTTTTTTTTTTTTAATTCTTTTCCCTTTATTTGTTGCTTCCTTCTTCTCTTTGGTCCTTTTCGTAATGCATAAAGCCATAAACTAGTTTTAGTATTGTCTAATCATAAAATGTTTTGGAGCGATTTATGATACGAAACTATGTTCCATTAAGCTCCGGTATTGAAACTGTGGCAATTTGCAAAAGGAGGTCTAAGCTAAGCGGCGGTCAGAAGAGGAATCCATAAACGCAATTGCTTTTGTTGCTTTCAACTTGTGAAAGCGACTTCCTAGTTGCCTAAAAGGCTAAAACTGGTTAAACAAAACAGGGTATCTCCCCAGGCCATCGTCTTACTTTTAGGTGCATAAAATAATGGGGCACAATGGGATTGTATGTGACGTCACTACTGGATTCAATTTGGAATGCAACAGTGTATTTAGGCAGTTTTGGGAAGAACTTTGTCGTGATGATTCAAGTTGGAAGTGTGTGGAAGTTACCAACACAATTAGAACTCAAAATCATAATCGCTCTTTTAACATTTCTAGACGCTACTTTGTCCTCTTTGGTCTTAAGACGTTTTATTTGTGTAAAAAGGAACAGAAATTCGGGGAGTATCGATTAAAATTGAACACGGCACTAATATTTAATTACTCTCGCCCGTGATTTTTTTGTCTATGGTCGTTCTCGGGAATTGAGGTTTAGCAGCTGGATTTAGTGATGTTTCTTGGACCCCCTTCCAGCCATGAAATTAGGCTGAAAGTGCTCAATTAGGCTATGGCTGAAAGGTCTTTTGAGCTAGAGGTTTCGATAGCATGTGATTACCAAACCATGTCGCTAAGATAAGAGGCTGAGTTGTTCCAGACCCTAACCTATTTACTTTGGTTTTAGAAAGAAATAGAGAACCTTGCAAATGCACTCGGATATTCCGATCAGCAAATGGCGCCACAGAATTAATGCCATAATATAATGACGCACATTGACTGCACCTGGCTGCTGGAATCAGAACATTCAGGCAACTTGCAACCTTTTACGAGAGGTGTCTTCATATAAGGTGTCTTACTCTACAATGTCACGCGCAGCAAGAAGATAACAATCCCGAGATGAGCAAAAAATCCGAATAACTGGCAATATCAGATGAGCCCATGAACTACTTTATCTAGTAAAGTGACTACTCTTTCAACAGAGAACAGACCCCGTATCAGAAGCAGAAAACAGCTGGATGAACTGTTTCTGGCTGGAAGTACTACTAAAATCTTAAGATGACTATATGCATCTTGAGTTTCCATTCCTGTTTACTGAAAATGATATGCCAAGTGTTTTTATGGCTATACCTTCATGATCTCCAAACACTCAAAAAGGACCCTTCCTCTACAAGGATATGACCCCCTAAATGTAAGTACATATGCACAACAAATAGTGTTGCCCAAGCCTCAACACAGTACACAAGAAACAATCCACCAGAAAACAACCATTTGCAACCATTTTCTTCTCCTAGGCTACTGCAGATCATAAAAATCTTAAAGATAACAAAAGAAATAAACTACTGCCTCCGTCCCATAAGAATAGTTCACATTGAGTTTTGAGATTTGTACTATTTTGTGGACTATTTTTTTTGGGACACAGGTCGTATCACACAAGCTGATACTTCAATAAAACACAGATTTTAATGAAGCTATAGCTATCTAATTAAAATGTAGTCCAGCAGGCTGGAAAAAAGATGTGATCAACCGAGACAGAGTGGCAGGTACAAGATTAAAATCTGCAGACAGCACTGGCATATATGAAAATTGCAAATCTACAATTCAAAAGACCAAAATCATTCTTCGCATCAGTCACTCAGCTTTTAACCTGCTCGCAGATGTCATTGACTCACAGGGACAGCAGCTGGTCACAAGAACAGCGTGCTAATACAAGCTCTTACTTGCATAAGTCCTCAGTAAAGATCAGTGAAGCAAATATGCATCCTGAATTTGTCACCACATCTATAAAAAAGACATAAGCCTCCCCTTCCTGGTGCAATCTAAATTAACAATTAAGTTCACTATCATCAGTTTGGAATGTATTCATGAGTGAGCCAGTCGCATTTTCTAATAGATAAACCAAAACTCTAGATAATGCTTGTAATTTGATCCAACAAATGGTTAGATCTGAGATTTATCTCTATAAAGCAATTTGATACAAGCACAGTTTCAAGCATTTTAAAATTCAAAGCTAACAAAACCTTTGGGAAAAGATGAAGCTACGAGCATTCAATACAGAAGAAGCCATGACAAATTGCTTCTCTATCTAAGAGATTACTAGTTTAAGGTGGCAGGCCTAACTAAAACTATTAACTTAAGAGGGCAGCCCAAATGTATAACACCCCCTCCCCGGGCATAGGAGCCCCTGCATATGCAGTGAATCGACGATCTTGCATAAGCTTATCAGAGACAGATCAGGCCATCACAAGGTTAATTTGCAAAAACTAGATATACGATGGGTAGCTCCAAAAATGATTCATGCCAATGAACATTTATAATACAACCTGGTGTACGACTTGAATCAGAAAAGATAGCTCACTGCTCACTTGTTAAAGAGCTTACTCAACAAAGACTATTTCTACTGCCAAAACAGGACAAAGACAACAAATACCCGACAAGAACACATAACACCGCACAAGATGCAATCTTTCCCAATGGGATGGACTATATCCACAACTTAACCAGGTCACACGGAAACAACTATTATACTTGCATCACTGCAACAAGAATCCTATACGATTACGACTTTTCAAGAGTTCTTAAACACAATTCCTCAACTCGGACATTGCCTTTGCAGTATCTCTATTGGAAAGGTTCCTGGTAATTACTCTAGCAGAAGGTGATTTTTGACATAACACAACCTTTAATTACAAAAATACAAGCTATACACATGAGGTAAACTATACTAAAGTTTCCTCAACTTAGACCCATTTACGTCTTACAGCAGAACACGCATAACAATGATATCAAAGTTAAAAATGCAGAAAGAGTATATTTTCTCTAGTGAGTACAAAGAAGAGCATAGAAACTAAAACCTTCTTTTATTGTATACGGAAGGACTTGGGGGAGTACTCATCATGATTAGGACGGCATCTCACAGAACGTCAAGAAATCAGAGAAACAAACAATATTAGGGACTAGGAAGAAACCACCGAGGAAAATCAGCTCAATAACAGATTACGAAGACAAAACATGGTGAATAAGAAATGCAATGCACATTAGTCCTAAAGCATTAATCCAGTTCATTTTTTTTAAAACAAAAAGAGAAAAGAAAAGAAAAGAAAGATGAACCGTATAAAAAGTATGAAACTTTGATCAATCCAGGAATAATTACACAATCCAATAGTCAGAATTCCATCAGTGTACCAATTCAGAAACGACATTAAATAGAAGAAACCAAAGAAGCCCTTCCAAGAATCTTCTTATCATCCGTCCGACGAAGCCCGCCGTTGTTGCAATTCAACCCACAGCCACACTGCGGAATAATATCGAAATTATCAACAGCGAAATCTGCCGAAGCAATCCCAACGGAGAACTCGAGATCATCCCCGTTCCTGACGACCTCTACGATGTTGAGCCACAGAAACAAAACCTTAACGCTAATTCCAGAGAGCTGAGAAAGCTTCCCTTTAGCAATATACCCACTGATCTTTGATTTATACTTCAATTGATACGAACCCTCCAAGGAAAAGCTGCAGGAATCGTTAAAATAGGCATTGAATTTGCCTGTTTTCTCGTCCAGATCATATTCCCTTGCACCCTTGGGGAGCAAACCCACCGGAAAGTTGTATGATTTTAGGATTTCGTAAGCGCCGGCACCGTCGCCGTGCTCCGCCGCGGAAAGTGTAAGGAACGAAGAGATGATGAACAAGATGACTATTGCCAGCCGATTCATTGTTATCAAAAATTCCGTTGAAATTATCTGGTAAAGGGGCTTTTGGCTGGTTTAATATATATGGTAAGATTTATCAAATAATTACGGGGTTTTATGAATGTTTATCCAAGGAATTAAAAACAAACAATTTGGTATAACAATAGGCAACCGACTCCGATCAGAAGAACTTTGTTGTGTTTTTTCGTTTTTGTTTTTTCTTTTTTTCCTCTGAGGAATTAAATATGCGGATATTCTGGCGGTGATTGCAGGGAACCGCGGTCAGGCTGCCACCATGTGGGGTGTGTTAATGTGTCGGATTTGGATTAAAATACGTAATTATTTTGGAGTCTTATTACGAATCCTAACTCTTCCCGGCAATTTATAAATGCCCCGGTCCTGAATCGTTTCGTCGTGACTCATATGGGTGTCAATTCTAGTTTTCTGGTCAATTTCATGTTATGTATTTCACATGATTAATAAGATTTTTTAAAATAAAAATAGGATAAAAATTCGGATCGTTTCGAAAATTGACACTATCTTGTATAAAAAAAAAATTTGTTTTCTCTTAAATTTTATTTATATTTTTTTATATCAGAAAATAAAATTTTAATTATATAAAGAAAACACAATAAATGAATTTAAAACAAATCAAAATTCATTATACTCTCTATGTCCTAAAATTATTGGTCAATTTGAATTTTTACATTTACCAGTACAAATTGAACTAAAACTACTAAAAAGCTGCCTTATAATTTTGGGACATAGAATATAATAAAAACCGAAAAAGTGACAAATCAAAATACCTTATAATAACAACCGAAAGAAATATTTATTTATGTTGACTAGATAATAGGTAAATTTTGTGTGAAATAGTCAAACCATTTCTTAGTTAGTTCAATTTGACAAGTAATAGTGTATGACGAGTCAGAATTAAACCCTAGGCCTATTGGGCCTAGGATTAGATTGCTTGAAGTTTAGGTCACCGTCTAAATTTTTTACGACTAGATTTAAGGAAACAGCTCTCCCGTAATACATATCTTCTACCTATCTTCTACACCTTCTACATACGATACACACCCCTCTCTCTTTATTATCTGTATTCCTTTACTGACTTAAATATCGGAGAGTCTACCATCAGAAGATACTCGTCGTTCTGTCTTGCAGGTTTTAGGCTGTCCGCCGCCGCATAGATCATCATCACCGCCCGTTCTAAAGCACCCTACAGATTCATGCTTCGTCAGTGTAAATTTTTGTTACGATAATTTAAATTAGGAGTTATTATACATTACTCGTGCAAAATTAATAATTCAAATGAAATTTTTAAAATTTATACTGTACTAGTTAAAAATAGTATAAATATAGGGGGAGGATTTTTCCAATCACAACCTTTAGTTCTTTCAGCCACAAAATTTAATTTTGTCCATTTTGTCCCTGCCATTTGACCAAACTAAATTGAAAGAGAGAGAGAGGGAGAGAGAGAATAAGCCACTCGGACCGAACCGGGCAAGTCAACTGGGCAAGATTTTAATTACCTAAAAACTAGATTAACTAATTACAAAAAATCTAGAAATTAAAAAAATAGCAATGAATCCGATTGCTATTTTTAGACTTTTTTAAATAACAAATATTACTATTTTTTAATTGAAAAAAATAATAAAAAATAACAAACAATCTAAAAATTAAAAAAATAGCAATGAATCCAATTGCTATTTCTTTTAATTTTTATATTTTTTTAAATAACAAATATTTTTTTTAATTACAAAAAATAACAAAAAATAACAAAAATCTAAAAATTAAAAAAAAAATGAGTCTGACTGGACCGGTTCATCATATCGGACCGAACGGGGACCAACCGTGCAATGAATCCATACCGAGTTAACCCGAGACAAGTGGACCGCCCGCCCTCTTGTTTGCCCAAATGGGTTCATTGCCCGTCCCGAATTAACTCAGGACGGATTCATTGCCCATTTTACCCGACTGACCGTGCAATGAACCCATTCGTCAAACAAGAGGGCGGGCGGTCCACCCGTGCCGTGTTAACTCGAAACGGTTTCATTGCACAGTCGAACGGTTTTTTATTTTTATTTTTAGTTTTCAATTTTTTTTTCTTTTCTCTCTAGTCAAGTTATTCGATTTGAAAAAATGATTAGGGTAAAATGGTCCAAATTAAAAATTTGTATCTGAAAGAGCTAAAGTTGGTGGCTTGAAAAACTAACACGCTAAATATAAAATATGCTTTTTATCATCTTATCGATTTCATTAGCCTTGTCTTTTTGGAAGAAATAATACATTTTTTAACATCATGTAATAGTGTTTCGAGTTTATGTAGTATTGTTTTGAACACACATTGCGGGGGGCACTTTAGTTGGATACAAATCAATATGTATTTAACTATTTATCAGGGGCAATAGAAATTGTGGCTAAACCACGAATATTATGCTAATGGTAAAAAAAACCTTGGATTTCCAGGGGGGAAAAACTAAAAAAGGGAATAAAGAGTGGGACAGAATAGAAATCCCATTAGGCCTTAACCGAAAATTATACCATGTACATTAAGTACATGTAGTTAGGTACACATAAATCCTTATTTGGTAATTAGTATAGGAAAGGAAGGCTAAACATACAAGTCTTTATGAGTTATGTGTAACTCACGCGCGCCTTCCCTTTAATTTTAGGAATTGGATTTTAAAAATTTCTTAAATTTTCAAATCACTTTATTTCTTAATCTGTAAATAATTAGACCAAGTGTCTTATAATTTTGATAGTACTTGACGATATCTATCCAACAAGATCCCTCATGAATATGTTTTTCGAAAGTTAAAAAAATTTATGCAGTAGCCTTGGTCTTACTAAAAGACATTCTGGTCTTATTGTGTCTTTTAGGACTAAGACCTACAGAAAAGACCAAAGGCCAAATGTCAAATACCAAAATTGAATACCAAAGAGCAAAGATCAAAGACCAGAGTAAAGAGCGAGCGTGTGTGAGGAACAATGACAAAAGACCAAAGACCAAAGACTAAGAAACCGAAGACCAAAAAGCAAAAACCGAGGACCAAAGAACAGAGTGAAAGAGCGAGTGTTGTATGAGGAGTAAAGACCAAGGAACAAAAACCAAAGATCAAATACCAAATACCAAAGACCGAAAGCCAACGACCAAAGACCAAAGAACAAAGACCAAAGACCAAAGACCAAAGACCGAAGGCCAACGATCAAAGACCAAAGACCGAAAGCCAAAGACAAGAGACTAAAGGCCAAAAACCAAAAACTAAAGGTCAAAGAGCAAAGACCAAAGACCAGAATTAAAAGCGAGCGTGTGTGAAGAGTAAAGACCAAATGCCAAAGATAAAAAATCGAAAAAATATTAGTGTGTATAGGGTTTAGGGAGGTTGAAGCATTTTCTTGTCGGTTCTGGTCTAGTTGTTTAGGATTTAGGGTTTAGAGGGTTTAAGCATTTCCTAATCGGTTAGGGCCTAGTTGTGCTGTAACACGTTTAACTTATAAATTTTTTTAAACTTATTAGGCCCTAGCCTAATTGTTTTAAAAAATTTTAAACCAAAAAAAAAATAGCGTGTTTAGGGTTTCGGGGTGTTTAATCATTTCATTGTCGATCACGGTCTAGTTGTTTAGGTTTTAAGGTATAGGGGGGTTTAAGCATTTCCGTGTCGGTTAGGGCCTAGTTTGGCTGTTACACGATTAGCTTATAAATTTTTTTAAACCAATTAGGCTAGATTAGCCTAATTAGTTTAAAAAAATTAAAACAAAAAAAAATAGTGTGTTTAGGGTTTAGGAGGGTTTAACCATTTTCGTGTCGGAGGGTCTAGTTGTTTAGGGTTTAGGGTTTAGGGGGGTCTAAGTATTTCCGTGACGGTTAGGGCCTAGTTTGTGCCGTAACACGATAAACTTATAAATTTTTTTAAACCAGTTAGGCTAGGGCCTAATTGGTTTGAAAAAAATTAAACAAAAAAAAATAATTTAGTGTGTTTAGAGTTTAGGGGAATTTAACCATTTCCGTGTCGGTTAAGGTCTAATTGTTTAGGGTTTAGGGTTTATGAGGGGTTTAAGCATTTCCGTGTTGGTTAGGGCCTAGTTTGTGCTGTAACACGATTAACCTTATAAATTTTTTTAAACCTAAAAAAATTTAAACCAAAAAAAAAATTAGTGTGTTTAGGGGGATTTAACCATTTTCGTGTCGGTTGTCTAGTTGTTTAAGGTTTTGGGGGTTTAAGTATTTCCGTGTCGGTTAGGGCCTAATTTGTGCCGTAATACGATTAATCTTATGAAATTTTTTTAAACAAAAAAAAATTAGTGTGTTTGGGGTTTAGGGGGGTTTAAGCATTTTTGTGTTGGTTATGGTAAAGTTGTTTAGGGTTTAGGGTTTAGGAGGTTTAAGCATTTCCGTGTCGGTTAGGGCCTAATTTGTGCCGTAAGACGATTAAATTTATGAACATTTTTTAAAACCAATTAGGTTTTAGTTTAAAAAAATTTAAACCAAAACAAATAAAGAAATATTAATGTGTTTAGGGTTTAGTGGGTTTAAGCATTTCCATATCGGTTAGGATCTAGTTGTTTAGGTTTTAGAGTTTAGGGGGGTTTAAGCATTTCCGAGTTGGTTAGGGCCTACTTTGGTCTTTCGTCCATTGGTCTTTGATCTTTGCTCCTTATACAAACTCGCTATGCATTCTTGTCTTTGGTCGTTGATCTTTAGTTTTCGGTTTTTGGTTTTTGGCCTTTTATCTTTGGTTTTTGTTTTTCACATACGCTTACTCTTCATTTTAGTCTTTGGTCTACGATGTTTTGTTGTTAGTCTTTGGTCGTCACACATGCTCGCTCTTCACTTTGATCTTTGGTTTTTGGTTTTTTATCTTTGCTTTTAAATTTTCGGTTTTTAGTCCTTGGTCTTTGGTCTTTGGTATTTGTTCTAGGTCTTGGTCATAAAAGACACAAATAAGACTCTATCGTCTTTTATGATGACCAAGCCAACTGCATAAATTTTTTAAAATTTCGAAAAACATATTCATGATGAATCTTGTTGGATAAATCTCATCGAGTACTATCAAAATGATATAAGACATTAGGTCTAGTTTATTACGGATTAAGAAATAAAAACATTTGAAAATAAAACAAATTTTAAAAACCTACTTCCTCAAATTAAGGGAAAGCGAATCGCGCATAGAAAAATAAAAAAAATATATATTAAATAATTATACATGAAGTCCTTCCATTATTGAATAATAAAAAAAGAGTGTACGTGCACTTAATGTGCATAGTATAATAACTCAACTATTACAAAATGATATTCAAAATCATTAATTTAAGCTAACTAATAAGTCTTAAATTAAACTTAAAATTTATATAATCTTCTCGAGATAATCAGGAAGAAGACACGAGATGCTTCCACCCAAAACGGCGTCGGCGGCGGCCATGGTCAACGCAGTCAAACCCACATCCACACTGCGGGCTTTCATAGAAATTATTCAAAGGGAAATCCGCCGAAGCGATTCCGACCGAGAAATCCATGTCGTTCCCGGCGACGGAGACTTCCCCAATTCCCAACCACAGAAACAGGATCTTCACCTGGACGCCGCTTAAGTTCGTGAGCTTCTGATAAGATATGACGCCGGTAATCTTGGTCCGGTATCTCAAGCTGTAGCCGTCGATTGTGAAAGTGCAGGTCTTGTTTAAGTAGACGGCGAATTTTCCGGTGGCTCTGTCCAGCTCGTATCGGGTTATCCCTTTTGGGAGGATCCCGATTGGGAACCCGTATTCTTCTAGAGCTTCGTAGACTGTGGGAGTACTGTTGCCGGCGGCGGCGACGGCGTAAGGGGTTATAATCGCCGCCGGAGAGGAGGCGGATAGAGGCAATAGATGGGCCAAGGAGATGATGAGGAAAGAGAAGTGTAAGATCTTCTTTCCGGTGGGTGAAGTCATGGTGCGAATTTTGTTGTTTTTCAGTGGAAACTGTGGAAATAAAGAAAGGTCTGTTCTCTTTTTTGTTTTTGAATCGAAAAAAGAAAAAGAGCAAAATTATTAATAAGCAATTAAAATTACGTTGTTGTTTCATTCATGTCAAGGTCAACAAATAAATTCTCGTGTACCTAATTTCTTCCGCTCCATTTGAATGGTAGAGATAAACAATTTCTGGTAGGTTCATGGAGAGTTTTTAGTGTCTGGAAAACAGATTAGTATTATTCTTGGAGAGTAAATCTAAGAAATGCAAATCGGTCAATATATGCAAAAGAGAATATAAGAAGCATGATCACTTCAATTCGTGAAAATTACTACAAGTTAATTACATGGTTTCTGCTAATGATTGTATTGAGATATAATGACAATATTAAAGAGAAAAAAAGAAGAAAAAGAAACCAAGAGTTAAAACTTACAACAAAATAAAACCTTACTTAATTACAACAAACCTAAACGATTTTATCTTCCACGTCTTATTTACTCCTTTAGTCTTAAAATTATTGTCCAATTTATATTTTCAGTATTAATTATGAAAAATTTAGATAGTTTTAACTTAGTGAACATTGATCGGGGAAAACTAATTTGTTCCAATTGGGAGAAAATATACTAGCTAACACCAAACAATGGCATGAATAAGGAATAGAGGAATATTATTAGTGGTATTGGATTCCCCCACGGAAGCGATATCCTCTTGGATTGCCTTACTTCGATTTTCATCATTAGCCTTCGATTCTACCAAATTTGACATTGCAATGTGCATCTATCTTTGCCATAAAGTCAAAAACTACGGTTACTAGTCAATATCGCAAATCTTCTACTGACTACTGATTTAACTTGGCGGTAACTATTAAAAAATGGCATTTTCTGGCCATATTTTTCCTTTTTGTTTCCAAAGTGATAGATGTCATTTTAAAATCTAAAGTGTGGGAAATATAGCAAAGGCACATGATATTTGGAATCAATTTAATACTTCTATCCAAAAAAAAAAAAAAGAAAAAAGAAGTCAGTCTTGAGTTTTCAAATTTATACTTAAATTAGTATAAATCTCAAAACTTAATGTGAATTATTTTTTTAAGACGGAAGAAATAGTATATTATTCTTCAACAGCGAGAAAATAAACCTCAATATTTGTTAGTGATATTCATTTTTTAAAACTAACATATATTTTTAGAGAAATTATTCAGTGCAAGCTGCTGTACCGCATGATTGTACAACCAGACACAATAATAGGATAAAGTAGCAATTTTGAGGGGAGAGATAATTTCTACGAGGATTATACCAGTAAAATAAGAGGTACTAGTTCTTGCTGCACTAAAAACCAGAATACAGCAATTGTACCCAATAATTTTTCATATTTTTATGTCTCTACTTGCAGTATGTGTCAGTTAATCATCTCTAATTTAACTTTCATTGAGTAATCGTCATAACTTATAATCATATTGGATCAACCAACGACTAATTAGATGTCACGTGAATATTATTTTACGTAAAAAAAAAAAGATTTACAAAGATGTATATCATAACTCCTAGTGCTTTCCTACGTAATAAAATTGAAAATATGAAAACTTTCATTAATGCAATTATGCAAGAGGAACCTTATATTTCCCTGTTCATATTGACTTATTATCATGCAAACTCGAAGAAATAATTAGCTCAAGTTAACATATGGATTTTGATCATCCTATCAATCGGTCATCATGAAGATTATATAACATGATCACCTGTGCTAACACCATTAATACAGTTGCACCCTGATCCACACTTCAGCGAATCGACAAAATCATCGACAGGGAATTTAGCCGAAGAGAAACTGACGAAAAACACAAGGCAATCTCCATCCCTTCTCACTTCCTTAATTCTAAACCAGAAGCCAACCGCCTTAACGCTGACACCTCTCAATGTCCGGAGCTGGCCTTTGGATATCTCTCCCGATACGATTGTCTCGTATTTGAGGAGATACGAATTGGCCAGCTCGAAGATGCACGTGCCGTTGAAATAAGCCGAGAACTCGCCGGTAACAGTATTCAGGTTATACCCGGTTACGCCTTCTGGGAGAAGTCCTCCCGGGAAGCCGTACCACTGGAGAGTTTCATAGACCGACTGGTTAATCTTCTCCTCCTTTGCCTCCCACGAATAAGCACAACAAGAGATTATCAAAAGAGGGAAAATGTAAAACAAGACTAATAATCCTGAATGTGAAGACATTGTTGAATTTTGTAATTTGATTTTTTTTTAACTCAAGAACATTGGCACTAAACATTTATATATGTTCAGCTAGCTTGCCCTTTTTTTTTTTTATTGGATTCCTGGTTCGTCCTCTTGATAGTAATAATGGATATTTGTAGCATCCAAGAATATGAGAACGGAAATTGCCATACAATATTGCACGATGTAGTTTAGATAGAGACAATTTCAACTGAAAGCTGCATATACATATGCAGCTTCTTTGAAAGTACGTAACGTAGTATAAAGAATCTTTTGATCCAACATAGTAGAATTGCAGAAACTAGAAACACTTATTCAGTCTTTTGTTTTCCATTATTATTTCGAGAAAAAGGAACTCAATAAACAAGTAACGCAAAGCGCCAACGCCCTGTAGAACGTCGGTAATAGGCCAAAAACTGTTATTATTGTAAACGAAATCTTAGCGTAAGTACTCCATTGATCTCTGTCCTCTCAATAGAAGGAAGTTTGTTCGTAGTCTTATTTTAGTTTGTGTTTTTTTAGGGCAGAAGGAATAATAAAAAAATTATGATTTTTTCTTAAATGAGGATTGTTATTATTAATTAATTTGTTTGAATAATTAATTCAGCGAGTTTGATCATTTAAAGAATGATGCGACAAGGATGCCAAAAAAAAAAGAAGAAGATTATAATCACATTTCGCAGCTTTTGATTCCTTATAATTAGTAATTTGCAAGAAAATGAAACAATATATAGCATGTATGTTTGGTATTGTTTTTGGCTACGCAACAAATTAATTTAGCGACCCACGTCATTAACGTTCTGGCAATGTTATATTTTCATTACTTGTAAACCAAGGTTGTATATTAACATATACAGATTGTATACCAGATATAGGTACAACTTCAGTTATTCCAGTAGTTGTTACGTTCTTTAGCATTAGTTCCATACTATTTTCTAGTAACCGAAGCCTAAGTGGAAAAACATTATTGGTGTTGAAGTGATTCCAAGCGGTCCTACACATTTTTTTTTATTTTTGATGTACTCTCCTGTTCTTAGTATAATACATTTTGATTTATCGTAAATTTTATTTAATACGTATTTTTAATTGATAACAAAAATCTTAAAAATATTTCAAAACAATCAAGAGAACACAACAAATACGAAAATATATTTTTAAAATTTTTTTGACAATAAAACATATGTATTTGATGAAATCTAGGACAAATCAAAATATCTTATATTAAGGACAGGAGTGAGTATATAAAAAGGTGTTCATTGTTATAATTAATTTGGTAATGACTCTTTTTTTTTTCCGACCTAGCAAGATTGTCTATTATAACAGTAGCGGGTAATTTATTCGTTGAGTGAAAGTTCTAACAGAGCGGTAATCATCTATTACTCCCATTTCATAAATGTATTAGATTCTGCCAAAATCGAGGTGGCCATTTGACGATACCTTGGCTTGGTTGATTTTGCAACAAACTACGCTACCTGCCCACATCATTAAACTTCCAGTAATATAAAACCGACAATGACTATATGCACGTAGGGAAGGGGGATGTTCGTTAAATATGTATTCAACTTTTTGACAAAAATTGGTTAGAAAAATGTTTATATATATATGTCAATACATATATTTCAAGTTGTAAAAGGTACTTCTTCATGACTTATTGTGTTTATATAGTTGGAAAACGTGTATTTGAATATTGTACCGGGGAAGTATTTCACACTTCACACTATTCCTTACCACTTTAATTTGAGAGTATAGATTAGGATACGTTCCCAAATCCAAATTAATCCTCATTTTTTCTCCCCGACAACATAGTCCTGCCGATTTTAACTTATATAACGCAGTACAAATTTAATTTAAATTTAGTTTTGAACAGTGAAATGATGTGAAAGATGTAGTCAGCTTCATTTGCCATCGGTGAACACACAAGAGGAGCATACTCTATGGCTATGTATGTAAATATTACTCACTTATAAAATTTAAAATTTCATATTCTCATTTCGTATGTAAATATATAATGTATGTAGATTTTATAATTCAAACCACAAGTTAACGGAAAATAATCCGCCACAAGTGACTTATAAATGCTCTCATTTTGAGCTCAATCAATAATTAAAGTGATGAATTGACGATATATCACCATGAAGAAGACAGATAAAGATCCATCCAGTTCTGATAAATCCCACGACGACGGTGATGATCAATTTCAGTTTCTTCAGCAACATTACAGATGAACCCACACCCACATTTCGGAGAAACTGCAAAATCTTCGGCCGGGAAGTCGGCGGAAGAAGGACCAACGGAGAATACAAGCACTTCTCCTTCCTTTCTCACCTCAACAATTCTCAACCTCCGCTTGATCGCCACAAAGCTGACGCCTCTCAGTTCCCGGAGCAGATCTTTGGATATCCGTCCCGACACGGTGGATTCGTACTTGAGATAAAACGACTCTGCGAGCGTGAAGGTGCACGTGCCGTTGAGATACGCCGAGAACTCGCCGGTGGTTGGGTTCAGGTCATACCCGGTTGCGCCTTGTGGGAGAAGACCCACCGGAAAGTCGTACTGCTCGAGGAGTTTGTAAGGTGAAGGATTCTCTGCCACTCTGGGCGACGGCCATGAATAAGCGCCACACGACACGATTAAGATAGAGAAAAGGCTAATTGAAACTAATCCTGAAGACATGATGATGAATTATATTTTTGTAATTCTTCAACAAATATTGGCACTAATATATAAGCTAAGTACTTTATCGGATTCTGGACGTTTCATAGTCGTTCCAACTTAGCCTATGAGAATAAAGGTGGGGGAAAGGAGAGTAACTATTGATAATAAACAATCATAAGATGCTAATAATTATTCTATAGTCTGCCAATACTAAACAGGAAAAAGAAATTGGAAGCATAAAATCAACGTGACGTTTGATCAAGGATTTAGTGTGTCGACCGAACACGAAAGTAACATTATATATAGTCGACAATATCATATAATCAATTTCACATATATCAAGAAAAAAAAATCACATATATTGGGATTAAGGCTTTGCCGAATCGCTAAAAATGACCTCTCCCAATACAATGAACCAAGAGAACAACCTAAGATTGATAATTATTAAACACATTCATTGGTACAGATTAACTTTCAGAGTCGCATAATTTTATGTTATATTCAAAATCTAAAAATAAAATGATCAGAAAATATACTACAAACTCATAAGTAACATTTAAAATGATCGAATATAGATAGTAAGCACTAACATTTAAAATCAGCTCATTATGATATTTACTAGGTACTTTGGTCCAAGTGTTTTAAACTAGTAAAAGATATTAATACAGTATCTATGTTGATGTACTCGATAAAGAACGCATGTTCAATTTTTCTTCTACATAAAAGTGACGAACGTTCAATCAATAATAATATTTATCCAATTGGCCAATTTTAGATTCTTTAGTATAGAGAAGAAAAAGTGGTTGCATTGCATCCTTCATGATACTAACAAAAGCGATTAAATTAGAATTAGGAAAACATAAGGGGGTCAAATTTGTAGTTAGATTAAGTAGTAGAATTATAACGGCAATTAACCACGAATCTGAAAATCTGAAGGCCCATAAAAAGCTAACTCCACATCTGGACAAAAAAACGATAAGATTTTGGGCCTCAGTCCATTCTCTTAGAAAACCCACCCCGGTCACTTATATCACACACCAATAAAAACCTCCCACTCCCTTAAAACCCTAGATTCTCAGACTCCATCCCCATTTTGAAGAACCCCTCGCAGGCGCCGCAGTGAAGAGGAGGAGCAACACCGTCAGCCGCCATGGTAAACATTTCCTCCCGATTCCTCACATTTCTTTCCGGTCGATATCTAAAAGCTTTTCCGGAGTAGTAAATTTTTTGTTGATTTTGTCTGGTGTTTTCGCAGGGTATCGATCTGAAAGCCGGAGGTAAGGTCAAGAAGACCAAGCGTACTGCGCCCAAATCCGAGGATATTTACTTGAAGCTGCTCGTGAAGCTTTACAGATTCCTCGTTAGGAGGACCGGTAGCAAGTTCAATGCCGTGATTCTCAAGAGGTTATTCATGAGCAAGGTCAACAAGGCACCTATCTCACTCTCCCGCCTTGTGAATTACACCAAGGGAAAGGTATTAACAAGTTATAATCTGCCGTTGTATCCCCATGTAACTTCATATTAGTTAGTTCTGTGCTTGTTTTGGAATAAGGATTTGAATATGTGTGAAGCCCTTTTGGAATATTAATTAGCTTTTGGAATATTAATTTGCTTCGAGGATGATTGTTAAGAATTGGAGTTGTATATCTTTTATGCATCAGAACTAGGGAGATGTTTCTGAATATTGAATGTATTGATCTGTTTGAGTTTGGGTTTATGTGAACATTGTGGAAGTGTTTTAATGTCTATTGCTTTTTTTCGTATGATACCCAGGAAGACAAGATTGCTGTGATTGTCGGAACTGTGACCGATGATAAGCGTGTGTATGAGGTTCCTGCTCTCAAGGTGACCGCACTTAGGTTCACTGAGACTGCTAGGGCTAGGATTGAGAAGGCTGGAGGAGAGTGCTTGACTTTTGACCAGCTTGCCCTTAGGGCACCTCTTGGGCAAAACACGGTATAATTTACCTTCCAACTCATTCAGCTTCTGCAGTTATTGTGAAGGGTTTTTCCTGCTTTTGTTTGCTGTGACTTGTTTTGTTCTCTTATTGGGTGGAGATGAAGTATTTCTTTTGTTCTCTGACCATTCAAAGGATTGTTTAGTTCTTGGCCTCATAATTTGCTGGCATACTTTTTTGGTTGGTAGTCCTGTAGATTCTGGAAGATTGTTTGAAGATGGCGTGCATATTTTTTTTCCTAGCTGGATTCGCATATGCTTGTGATTATGTTTATGGTCATGTTTGATCAGTTTCTGGAGCATCTTCTGTAAATTACAATTGGTAGTCTAAAACCTTTGTATATTTTCAACTCTTGTTGTATGAATTTAATGGTATTTTTACTGTTTGTAGTCATCTTTGCTTGCTGTTGCTGACCTGTTTTGTGGTTCTGTAGCAACGGGTTGCATCTGTGATTTTTCTATTTAGATGTAATTAGTGTGGTAACAAGATAATTGAGCTGCTGTTGTTTCGATTGTTCTTTTTTGCCCTTTGTAATCACTATTGGTTTTTATTTGAACTTGCCATGTAAGGATATCCTCTTTTGTTGACTGAGTTTGTGTTGTTTGATTTGGCACCTTCATCTCTTGCTTGTCTTTGATAAGTTTTGAGCTATAGACTCTGCCACCCCCGAAGGTTCTTTCAGTAATGTTTTCCTCTCTTACTGGCACTTCAATCCCAAGCCAGAAATCTAAGTTCCCCTTCTAATCCTTTGCATCCTTCTGATGTCCTATGTGGGAGAGCTGGGAACAAATTTCTGAAGACCTTTTTTGATTTTGACCTTCTGTGTTTATGTAAACGTTGAGCAAACATTTCAGTATATTTTAATTATCATTCGTTAGATTGGTCTAACTTCTGAAGTATCGCATAAGTTTAATATGATTATCCCTCCGTGGTTATCTTCTTACAACTGTTTGGCTATTGCTATTGGTTATGGAACTATTTTGAGGACTAACAGTTTAAGGATGGATGGCGCAGGTTCTCCTCAGAGGACCCAAGAATGCTCGTGAGGCAGTGAAGCACTTTGGACCAGCTCCTGGTGTTCCACACAGCCACACCAAACCATATGTCCGCTCAAAGGGAAGGAAATTCGAGCGAGCTAGGGGAAGAAGAAACAGCAGAGGCTTTAGAGTCTAAGTTGTTTTGTCATCAATGGTTAAAAGACACAGTTTACAATCTATTTTGTGTTTGGAAGGGTGTTACTCTCGCCTTTGGTTTACCCGGAATTCCTTTAAAATATTTTTGTTATCTGTGCGAGATTTTAGATTGAACAGTAATCTGTAGCAATTTCTAATATGCATCTACAATTTTTGTCCTTTCAAAGGCTTGGATAGTGTTTCCTGCCCAGTTAATTTTGTACGTTGTAGTGATGGGGGGATCTCGTTGGTAGTTCATAGATGTTGCATGTTAGATTCCTCTTAAATGTGAGTTGTTGCATGTTTAATTTCTCTAAGAATGTCTTATGAATTGATAAACAGATCTGGCTCGTCATTCCTTATTAGCTGTTTCTGGATCAAAATTTGTGTGAAAATTTACCCTGAAATCTGAAGGTGGACGAAAAAAAAAAATTAAAATCGTTGTTAAGTTTGACCCAAATGGTATAGACTATAGAGGCGTCGATACAACATAAAGGAAGAGCAAATGACTCTTTTTACCCGTATCCTTGGCTGAAAATGTTAGTTTACTGAAGATTACTGATATTCAATTTAAAATTCTCGTAATAAACGCTCGGGTATTTTTGTTAGTGGAGATTATGGATCACGGGAATGAATTGTTACTCCCTCCATTTTAAAATGTAGGTCGTTTTATGATTGGAGAGATTTTTCAAAATGTATGTCGTTTTACAACTTCTGGGTAAATTAATGACTATTTTTCTAACTTTACCATCAATAAATGATGCTAATCTATTTTCATTTAGTCTTGTTTATAATTTCAATGTAACTAATAAATGGTAAAACAGATATTTAACATATAAAATTAATTGTCGGATGATTGTCTCCTTAGTTTGCGTACAGAATCTAAAAAGACTTTAAATTAATTGTCTGATTTATATTTAAATTTCAACTTGAAACACTTTTTGTTAGTCTAATGACCATTTTAGAACTAGAAATAATTCAATGACAAATTTGGCAGGATTCCGTTGTTGAGTGAATATTTTTGGAAAATTTCTTTTTTTGCAGTGACTATAATTGACAATATTTAATTGTTTAGTGATGACTTGTACTTGATGATTCAAAATGTAGTTCAAAATATTTTTTTCAAAAGCAACATCCAAACAACATTTTTATTTCCCGTTTAGTTTTCAATTTGAATCACTTTCCACTTTTAAGTAGCAAAATAAAATGTAAGTTGACGTCCAAACAAGCACTTACATTTTGAAATAGAGAGAGACCTTCGAAAGCAAATGAGAACTTTCCCAATGGGGTTTTTTTTTTGAAAATTTCAGATTGCTTTTTTATTTTTATTATCATATTGAGTAATTGATTAATTACATGACTTAACTGGAGTTAGATTAGGGTTAGGAATGTATTAAATTAAAGAACATTTGGCATCATTTTAGATGGTGTCACATAGACTGGCACACAAGTGTGTTACCGAAGACCCAGAGCCCGTCCGATATGGCCAATATTTCCAGATTCCAAACCTTTCCAATTACTACTACAATTATTGTTAGACCAATTACTATACTACCTTAAAATCCCCGCTCCAATTCTCATTTCTTATCGTTTCCTTAATGACTGTTTTTAGTCTGAACACGAACTAACCTCCAATTCAACTAAAGTAATATTTTAAATCGTTTCTCCAACATATAATAGTATCAAGTTTGTTCCTGATTAGTGATCACTTGCAGCAGAAAAGCAAATTCAACGACAAGTTCAATGGAGAGAATACTTCACAGAAATGTCCATGTGAACGGAATCAATATGCACGTGGCAGAAGTCGGCGACGGCCCCGCCGTCTTATTCCTCCACGGCTTCCCGGAGCTCTGGTACTCATGGCGCCACCAGATGCTTTACCTCTCCGAAAAAGGCTACCGGTGTATTGCCCCTGACCTCCGGGGGTTCGGAGACACCGACGCTCCGCCGTCCCCCTCCAGCTACACCGCCTTCCACATCGTGGGGGACTTAGTGGGACTTCTCGACTTGCTGAGATTGGATAGGGTATTCCTCGTTGCCCACGATTGGGGAGCCGTAATAGCTTGGTACTTTTGCTTGCTTCGATTCGATAGGATCAAGGCTCTGGTTAATATGAGCGTGGTGTTCACTCCCAGAAGTCCTAATCGGAAGCCTTTGGAAGCCATGCGTGCTCGCTTTGGAGATGATTACTATATCTGCAGATTTCAGGTTACACTTAAAACTCTTAATCTGAAAATTATCCTCTTAATTTAGGTTTATCTATTTTTGGGTGAAAAGTAATGAGAATTGATCTTGTGTAATTGAAGAATTAAGTTTGAGTATATGCACAATTGACAATTATTGGGAAAGATTTTATTAATTTGGGAATTTAGCTGCTAAGGTATGCCTAATGCTATATTTAGTTGAGAATGTTAAGAGGTATTTGCGATCCCCTGTTGTAGAAGACGAGATGTGGCTAGTTGGCACCTTTTTTTTTTTTTTTTTTGGGTAGAAAATTATGTCTATGTTGTTCTGGTCAATTTCTTATCCTAAGATTGGTCATTGCAGAAACCTGGAGAAGCCGAAGAGGAGTTTGCTCGTGTTGGTACAGCAGCGATTATCAAGAGATTTATGACTTCTCGAAGACCAGGTCCGTTGTGTGTTCCCAAAGGAGGGTTTGGGCGCTCACCTCAGATGCCTATGATATTGCCATCTTGGTTAACTGAAGAGGATGTCAATTATTATGCCAGTAAATTCAGCGAAACGGGGTTCACCGGTGGATTGAACTACTACCGAGCTATGGATCTGTAAGTTCTACCGGAAATCCTCTATCCTTTTCTTTCGAACCTTTATGCCTGGTTTTCCTCCTTACTTGTAATTTTATGCAATCTGAACAGCTTTTTGAGTTATATACCATGTTGTGGCACTCATTGGCGCATAACAGTAGAACAGTTATGTAAACTATGAGTTGAATTAGTTAGTCCTTGTTTACTCCATGTGGTTGCACACACATTGTTGTCAAATCTTTGGCCTCCCTCTTATGCATTCTGAACAGCTTTGTTAGTTATATCTTGTTGTTAGCACAGAATAGTAGATCAATTATTCTGTGAGTTGCATTAGTTAGTCTTGTCTACTCCATGCGGTTGCATATCCCCTACCCAATGCAATGCAATACCACAATGTGTTTGTTGTTGGTGTCCTTTGCTTGTCTGACTTATTCTGTTACTCTATTCATGGGAAATGATGGGGTTTGGTCTCACATTTTGTGTCCCTGTTCTGTAGGAACTGGGAGCTCACAGCTCCTTTGGCTGGGTTGCCAGTTAAGGTTCCAGTCAAGTTTATAGTGGGAGATGTCGACACAACTTATACCACACCGGGTGTGAAGGAATATATCCAGAAAGGAGGCTTCAAAAGAGATGTGCCCTTCTTGCAGGAGTTGGTCATTATGGAGGGGGTGGCTCACTTTCTTAACCAAGAAAAACCAGACGAAGTAAATGCCCACATATATGAATTTATTCAAAAGTTTTAACTTCCAACAAAAAGGTCCATATTTCTGCATCTCTTTCTTGTAATCTTTCTCATTCTTGGAATCTTATTTCTGTAATATCTTTGGGAGTTGTTGTGCCCACCCCAAGATAAATAATGTGTTGAAATTCCCAAATGTATCGGCTACAAAACCAACATATTTATTTTTGGTGCTGTGATATTCAGAATTCATGTAACAGTTTGAAATTCATACATCAATGGTTTTACTTCCCCAGCTGAAACATGGAACTCGGGGAGAAACCTTATTCTTATTTATTTTTGGTTTATAGAAACCATAGTCTTTGAAGTGGAATATAGGATGAAAGAAAATGATCAAAACTTGCTAATAAAATCATAGATTTCAGTGTTGCAGATATCAGGCTTCTCTTGCTGTATGAAATGAGCAGCTCCTTTAACGACAACCACTTTTTCCAAGCCGGGAACGTCTTTCTTGAATCCTCCATTGTTTATGTAATCTTGGATTCCAGGTATGTAATAGCTAAGATCCGTATCACCCACCACAAATCTCACAGGCACATGTATCTTCGATCTTACCCATGCTTGTGAAAGCTCCCAGTTCCTGAAACACCACCATCATCATCAATAAGTGTACAAACTTTGTAACTGAAGTGTGGTAGATTCACCGCAAGACAAAGGAAATAACCCTTCCTGATTTCTCCGTGACTGGGTAGGATTTAGAACTGAGGCAATCACATGGATGAAATTTATGGATAAAAGAGTTCTTACAGATCGATGGCTCGATAGAAGTTGAGTCCTCCGGTGAGGCCATTCCTACCGAGTTTGGTGGCGAAGTAATTGACATCTTCCTGGGTGAGCCAATCTGGGAAGGGCAACGTTTTGGCAGCCTGAGCCAACGACGCAACTGCGCCTTTAGGGAGACGAAATATTCCGGTATCTCGAGTCAGGTAAATTGCTTTCAGATAATCTGCAAGATCAACCTTTTCAAGCTCCTTCTCCACTTCTCCTGGTGCCTGAACCAAACGTATTTAATTCAGTGTTTCATATTTCCACCATTAACCCAAACCCAAAAAATGAAAAAACAAAGGAAAAAAAAACCAATATACCTGAAACCTGACAACGTAGTAATCGTCCCCGAACCTCTCTCTCATTTCCTCCACCGGCTTCTTTGCCGGATCCAAGGGGTCGAAATAGTGAAGAACAACGCTGAAGTTGACCAGAGCCTTAATTCGGTCGGGCCGGAACCAGCAAAAGTACCACGCGATGAGGGCACCCCAATCGTGTCCCACCAAGAAAATTCTGTCCAGGCCCAGGCTGTCTAGAAGGGCCACAAGATCCCCGACGATATGGAACGCCGTGTATTTGGCAGCTCCGGTAGGCGCGTCACTGTCACCGTATCCGCGGAGGTCCGGAGCAATTGCCCGGTAGCCCTTGGAAGCGAGATACACCATCTGGTGACGCCATGAGTACCATAGCTCCGGGAAACCATGTAGAAATAGCACCGCCGGGCCTTCACCGATCTCGGCAACGTGCAAATTTATGCCATTTACTGGTAGAATTTGTTGCTTGATGTCCTCCATCTGATGAACTTAATCAGTATCGATTCGAATTGGTTTCCAGAATGGTCTTCTTCTGAAGAACTTGGCCATTTTATCTGCTGTCGTATGGTTTTATAGTGGTGCTGTTAATCATAAATTGACAATTTGTTGGTGGATTTCTTGGTATGTGAAGTTGATTCTTGAGGTAACTGCCAAAACTTTACAAAAATCACACCGGAAAAAATCTTTACATATGATGTAATACATATTCTAGCAATGTAAAAAAACGTTGTTTGACAACAATATGCACTTGTTTGGTCGAAAATGACAAAGGATTTTGTGTCGTTTAAGTAATAATAATGTCTGGTGTTGGAGTTTCGTGAAAGGAAAGAATAATGTTGGAGTTCCGCTTAAAAATACAGGAAAACAAAATGGATGCGGTTGTACGTATTGCTACTAAACGCTATGAAATTCTTTCTCCATCATATGTCAATCTACACTTAGATTTCGTTTTTGTTGATAATTCTTCATTGTATGTTTTGAGTCGTAAATTTGGTACCCCATTGTTGTGTCTAATTAATGAGGCGGCACAGACATCTAATTCAACAGTTTTCTCTTGACGATTTCACAAAAGTGTTTTCACATGAAAATATTGTTTCATAGATCGAATCCAACCAAAACTGATCAACTCCACCTACCATTTATCATTTACATATATAGCTTTCCATCGTTGTTAGCAGAAGACAATTTTGTATTAAAATTTGATGCGTCTAATGACTACCCGAATAGTATATACTTACAAAAAAACACGTGTTCAGTATCACAAAAAAATTCATGTCAATTCAAATGGACCAAAATTGACATACAAAAGGTTTAAAAGCGAGGATTGCCTAAGCTTTAAGGGTGATGGTGACGTTTTGATCTTTCAAAGCAGCAAAGAAGCAGAATATGGAAAGCTGGGTGATGAAAATTAGGAGAAATTTTGATAAGAAGGACGGAGGATGCATAAAATGATTAAGAGAGTGAATCTTTAGGCCTTTAGCGTGGCTTGTGGCAGAATGTCTCGTGGATCTATTGTTACAGGTCAAACTATGGCCGGTGATATGAATAAAGGAGCACACTTTGTGATGTGTTATGTATTATTCTTTGTAAAAAAAAAAAAAAAAGTCTTTGTACAAAAAAAAAGAAAAAGGAAGAGAGTGTTATTTTTATATAATTTTATTAAGAACCTTATAATGATCTCACTTTCAATCATGACTTTAAATTTTCGTAAATACAACTTTTCATTTTTCTCATTACAATTTCCAGACATAAATTAGAATCTGTTTACAAATTTAGTAAGATATAAATTAATGTAGAAAAAGTATAAAGATATAGGATAAAAAGACATAATTAATTACATTTTTTTTTTATGTGCAGGTTATTTTTTTCCGTAACTTGCAAGAGGAAGATTCATTTTTCTTTGCAAATGGTTGATATTTTTAATTATAGATTTTATTCCTTTTATATGAATCGAACATTATCTGAAATAGTCCAAAAACTTTGACAAAAAATCTTGTGTTTAATTGAACGAAGACCACAAAATTTGTAAAAAAAATCTAATAATATATATTTTTATTTGATGTCAGAATTTTTTATAAAAAATTTAATCTCTATATTTATAAAAATTACAAAATTTTTATTCCATAGTTTTGATTTTCCGGAATCTCCGACAATAATCGAAAAATTTTGGATGTTTAGTTTTTTTTTCTTCAATAGTTTAACCGCTGTAGTATACATATATCTTTGAATTTGTTGTTTTCTGGTAATCTTACACAAAAAAGGAATATATGAAAAGAAATACATTTTCAAATTAATAAAAAATATTAGAGTAATGGTCTCGGGTCATCGGGTATAAGCCGTGGGCCGGAGTCGGAGGTTGATTTACTCTGGCAGCATTTCAAGCCGACTCAGCCACTTAGGGACCTGCTGCGTCCACATTAACTTGCACGTCGCTGAACTACTACTATTATTATTGGAAAAAAAAAAAAAAGAATTGATGAAAAACGTTTTACAGTATATAGCAAAATTTTTTTGCAAGTACAGTAAAACGTCGATAAATTAATAATCGATAAGTTAATAACTTCTACGAATTAATAATTTTCTCCGGTCTCAACTTGGAACCAGTACAAAAATGACAAAAATTGATAAAATAATAAGATAATAATGTTTAAGAAAATTCCTTATATATCTATAGCCCAACAATATTATAACTTAATAAATGCCCTAAATACAAAAAATAAAAAATAAAAAATAAATACTAATAACTAGGAAAAAAGAGAAAAATATGAACTTATTGATACTTATTTTTTCTTGAAATTTATATCCAATGAAATTTCATCCTTGATTTGTCTTATTGTTCTTGAAAGCTCTGGGGTTATATTCTCAAATTGCAACAAGAAATTGTGAAGAGTTATTGCTGATTTAAGTGTTTCTTTTCGTGTGACTGGTCCCCAAGGCATTGAATCATCATCACCTTCATCCTCCATTGAACTATCTTCAAGGACACTACCCACAATATCTTCAAATGATTTGACCTCTGTAGACTCATCATTTTCACCTGAATAATCCACCAATTGATTGACATTCATCTTATTGTGATAATCAAAATGATTAATCATGTTATGAAGCTAATGAAGTCTTTCCTGGGCTACATCATTTGAGACAAATGCCGATGGTTCATTTATTGAATGAATTTTGCACTGATTAAAACAGTTTGCGATTGTCTTTTATTGTCTTTTTTAGAAAAGATTCTTTAAATTAATAATATATTAATTTATTAATTATTTAATAATTCACTAAATTAATAAAATTTGGTAGTTCCAACACTCTTAATTTATAGAAGTTCTACTGTATCAATTTCTTCATTTTTCTAGGTTTCTTTTTTTTTTGTTTTGTTTTTTTTTTTTGGGTACAAGAAGGGAGACAAAAGCCTAATTCAATAAAACACTACTCTTATCATATCATGGTCTAGCCACAGTTTTAATCCCGACAGGGGTTCATCTAACCGCTGCAAGCCACCGGGACAAAAAGCAGCCAAGAAAGCCATGTAATCTGCCACAAAATTGGTCTCACGAAATTAATGTCGAAGATGTACCTCCCAATCTCTGTGAAGCGAATCTCTAATAGCACCAACCAATCCCCGGTTCATCCCCAGTACATCATCTTGTCCTTTTACCATACTAACAACAGAGAAACTATCAACATTAGCAATCACACACCTCTTGCCAAGGTCCCAAGCTAGAGATAATCTTTGGAAAAGTCCCCACAATTCTGCACTGATAATAATAGTACAGAAGTCAATATTCATAGCGAAATCACTAAGCCAGCGCCCATAATGATCGCGAATCAATCCTCCTGCCGCCGCGATCCCCGGTTGATGATTGAAAGTCCCATCTGGTTTAGCGTTTTTTATTTTTGTTTGTTTCGGACAAAGAAAAAGAGACTAAAGATCATGCGGGAATAAATTAAACTCTTATCTCATCATGTTCAATTCACGGTTTTATTCCATCGTCATGCATACTTATACATTTTTAATTATAAGAGTGTAATTTCCTCTATCAAGACAGCGGGACCGAATTAAAAAGAGTAGCCCAAATGCGGGAACAGTGGCGTGGGGATTGGAATTGACACCATGACCATCCCCATATTTGTACATGACCAGAGTCATTCCTCCATAGTAATGCTCTTGGGAATGGTGATTCCATACATGTTCATCTTTTTCCATGTATCTCTAAATAGGTTCCACACATGTTATGTGGCTTTTTCTTCTGAACATCCACTCTTTTTGGAAGAATCTGAACATCCACTCTCCTTCATGTAACATTCCACTATTTTCTTCACGTCACCTCTTTTCACCTCCTCCTATATATGGTTGTTGGGGGTCAACCTTGACCCACTTTGACCGGCCCAACCAACCAACCAACCATTCTGCTCGGGCCTGTCTTTTAACCCCAAGCAGCCCATTCATTCCTTCCTAAAGGCCCATCCGGGTTGTGAGGAATAAACTCTTGTTTATTTACATTTTTGCCCCAACATGGGGGCCCACAGGTATTGTCCCATTGGGACCTATAAATACTCCTTACTCATTTATTGCTAATTCAATTCCACACTCCCGTTTCTCTCTCTAAGTGTGATAATTGCTGGCTTCTCTCCCTAGAACTGACTTGATCTTCGGAGTGCTAACCTCCGTTTTGCAGGTTCTCGTTTAGGTCGGACCGTTGACTCTCCGCCCCCGGATTTTACCCTCGACAAGTGGCGTCGTCTGTGGGAAGGCTCTTTCCTATTTGGCCGAGGGCAAATCCAGTTGTTCTAAGAGAGTAATGGTCTCCACCCGGACAAGGCCAGACGAAGGGACGAGTCGCAAGCCTGGATTGAGATCGAAGATAGTAGGGGGAAGTTCCCGCATATCCGCCCGATCCCGCGGAGAATGCCGAGACAAGGAGGATGCCGAAGGGGCTTCTCGAACTAATGACCGTCAGGGTCGCTCCAGGAGGTCTGACGATCCTCAGGAGGGTCGCGACCACGAATCGGCCGAACACCGGAGGAGCCGATCCCGCCGGACCAGTAAAGAAGCAGAGAAGAGCAAGGAACCTTCCAAGCGTCCTCGTCTGTCCCGTTCTCCTGAACGAGGGCCACATGATGATCGCTTCTGGAGATCCTTAGCCGGAAGCTTCCCTGGATTCGAAGAGCGGTTCAAAAAGTTTGAGGACATGTATTATGGAGGCAAAGACGAAGGTTCGGACGACAGCCTCATGTTCATGGGGGAACGAAGGGTCTCTCGGGGTCAAGATCGATCTAGAGAACGCGACCCTAAAACCCCACCAAGACCCAAGCCGCGGGTGGACCGCGAGGGTGTGTCAGATCCCCGGCTGGAGGCTATACTCAACAGTAGGGAAACACTGGGAAGTCCTTTCACCGAGCATATACGGTGTTATCCGCGGCCGGTTAACTTGAAACTCCCCACGCACATCCTGAAGTACGGGGGTGAAACCTGTCCAGTTAGCTTCTTGGCCGATTACACCGCGGTCATAGATTTGCGAGACTCACCCCGGGAGTTCTCCGCTAAAGCAATGCCCACCTTCCTAACAGGGGCCGCTAAGATATGGTTTAATAGCCTTCCCCCAGGGAGCGTTACTTCTTACGCGGACTTAGGGCGAAAGCTCCACGTCCGATTCTTTTCTAGCAAAAGAGTCAAGCCCACCATCCATGACTTGTCTTCGGTTCGTCAGCGTCAGAACGAGTCTCTGGGGGAATACTTCGAGAGGTTCACGAAGAAACTCATGATGATAGACCAGGTCGACGATTTGGTGGTGAGGGTCGAGTTCGTGAACGGCCTCTCTCCCTTTGGTGCGGGTACTGCCCTGAGGAGCAAGCTCACGGCTAAGTCCCCGGGCACTACTCAGAGGTTGTGGGAAATAGTCGAAAAGGAGATCCGGACAGACGAGTCCATGAAGAGGGCCAGAGAAGCTTTTGCCGAAGGCGAGAAGAAAACAGGGAAGCCGGAGGCGAAGAAACTCAACATCGGATCTCCGAAGTTCGAGTCCAAAGTACCCGTCCTCACTAAAACTAGAAAGGAGATTCTTCAAATTCACAAGAGTGAGTTCAAGCTTCCA